AGTTGCTGAAAGTTCAAACACAAATGACACACGGATCGGGTGTCGGGCCTCCTATTTATACACGCTTATTCACACTTAAGCCCGAGATCCCTTCAATGCCGACAGGGCTGCTTAAAGCGTCTTAAGAGGCTGGCAAAAGAGGGCAGCTGGCTCCCCTCCAGCTATCCTGCAGGCCGGTGTGGTGTTGCTGTCGTAGCTGAAAACTCCTCCGGCTGCCACCGGCTGCGGTTCGCCTCTGTACGGCTTGAGTCAGCAAAGGAGGCCGGTTGGGAAAAGGCAGCCAGGTGGACGGAAAGTTTCTCTCGGACTTCCCTCTGCTGATCGAGCCCCATCAGGTTGGGCCACTTCCACCACAAGGGATCGCAGATGAGCTGGGAAGGATCTGGTGCATTGCCTCAACTTTCTGGTCCTCATGGAGAACCCATTAGCTCACTGGCCGCCAACATTTTGGGCACCAGGCACCGGTTCCATGGAGAGAAGATTTTTTCCACGGACCGGAGGGAACGTGGTTTCATGTGCTTCCTGCATCCCATGGATGAATGGGGCATCGCTTGTTTGAGCAGCCTGGTTTCTGGCATCTCTCTCTCTCTCTCTCTCTCTCTCTGACCCTTTGAGAGCTGTATGCAATGTAATTTCATTTTAATGTATGCCAATTAGTGTACATTCAAAGTGACAATAAAGTATTCTATATCTATCGATCTGTCTGTCTGTCTGTCTGTCTGTCTATCTATCTATCTATCTATCTATCTATCTATCTATCTATCTATCTATCATCATCTGACATCCATCCATCCATCCATCCATCCATCCATCTATCCTCAGACATGTATCTATCTATCTATCTATCTATCTATCTATCTATCTGTCTGTCTGTCTGTCTGTCTGTCTGTCTATCTATCTATCATCATCTGACATCCATCCATCCATCCATCCATCCATCCATCCATCCATCCATCCATCTATCATCCTCAGACATCTATCTATCTATCTATCTATCTATCTATCTATCTATCTATCTATCTATCCATCATCTATCTATCTATCTATCTATCTATCTATCTATCTATCTATCTATCTATCCATCCATCATCATCTGACATCTATCTATCTATCATCTATCATCCACCTACCCGTCCATCTATCATCTATATCAGGGGTCTCCAACCTTGGCAAGTTTAAGACTTGTGGACTTCAACTCCCAAAGCTTTGCTGGCTGAGGAACTCTGGGAGTTGAAGTCCACAAGTCTTAAAGTTGCCAAGGTTGGAGACCCCTGGTCTATATCATCCATCCATCCACCCATCTTTCTCACCTCTCAACTCTTTATCTATTTCTCTCTCTTTCTCCTTCTCTCTCTCCCTGTCCATCCATCCACCCATCCATCCATCCCTCCATCCCATTGAGAAACTGCCCATCTCGTTCACCTTTGCAACTTCCGATGCTAGAAGTTTAAGCCCGAAAACCTTCCGTCAGCAATGCCGGTGCTTTTAGGGCGATGCTACCGTCTCCCTGCAACTTTGCCATCAGAAAACTGTGTGCTCAAAGGCACCGTGGGAAAACCAGGACAGGGATGGGAATCCTTCTCACAGCATTGGAAAAGGTTTTTTTCCCCCAGGGACCCAGTATTGTAGTTTTGAGGCTTATTTTAAATTTTTTTAAAAGGGGGAATTCCTTTCTGTTCTGCCTTTAGAGATCGTGGAGAATGGCAATCTTGATTTCTTTCCGAGTCAACCTCTTCCCTGTCTAAATATTTTAATAATTTGTTGCAAGGAGTGGGGTGATGGATGTTAAAGTGGAGTCTTTCTGAGGATGGGATCCATCAGGATCTAAATCTGGAGTGTCCAACCTTGCATGGCTGGCTGGGGAATTCTGGGAGTTGAAGTGCACAAGTCTTAAAAGTCGCGGAGGCTGGACACCCCTGTCTTAAATCAAGGATTTTCCCCCACGTTTCTGTTCTTTTATAGTTTGCTGTCTGTTGCAAACCTCAGGGATCTTAGTCAAGAGAAGTTCACGGCTCCCTTATCTTGGCCATTCCTTCAGGGTCATTAAAGGTCTATTTTGGGTTTAACCCAAGCGAGATGTTCCCCTCTTTTGCCAAAGCTCTTTATAGATTTTCCAGAGGTCAGGAGGTGGCTCTTAAAATTTGACGCCGGTGGAAGTGACAGCCCGTACGTCACTCGCCTCAGTGAAACCGATCCTGGTGTTCTTGGATTGATGAGGTCAGCGTGGAGAACTTTCTGAGAAGGGCTATAAAAAATAATAATAAAAAAAAACCCTCCAATTTTTGGCGCTGTGAGGAAAGAACAGGATGTGATTCTGCACCGATAATGATTCCCACTTCTAAACTTAACAGATTTGGAGCCCAAATGTCACTCGATTTATCATTTAGACACAAGGATTCCTCCTTGGGTTTTAGCACACGCTCTCCTTGCTGGGAAAGATAATTCCAAACTCAAGGAGGAAAAGAATTAGTTCTAGAAGGTTCTGGGCTTCCTCGCCCTCTCTGACGCTTCCCATTTTTCCTCTTCCTTCTTTGTAACAGTTTTTAACCAAATCAAGGCTGCAGTTGGGGAGGGTTGTGCAAAGGAGAAAAGGGTGTAAAATCCATTTCTACCAATGCAATGCAAAGAGTTGAGTTGGGTCCCATTCCTAAGACATAACCTCTTAACCTTTACAAATATCTTTTTATTCCCACCATTTCTCCTTTTCTGGGAGGGATAAATTTCTGTTATGATACTAACTTCCCAGTTTCTGCAAACTCCACATGCCATCCTAGCTTGGCCGTGCTCCCTAGTGGTACCTTGCTATTACATTGCTAATTGGTTCCGGGAGGTGCGATGAGTACCAAAAACTACGAGTATCAAATTCTTTCCACAATGAACAATGTGGTGAGTCATAAGGCAGCCGACACCGACAAGTTCTAGCTTGCACACTGAGTACCAAAGAAACGATGAGTAGTGGGACAACATTTTAGAGCCTGGTAGTACAGTGGACTAAAGCACTGTTAAGTAACACCAGCTGCCTGCAATTACTGCTAGTTCGAATCTCCCCAGGCTCAAGGTTGACTCAGCCTTCCATCCTTTCAAAGGTAGGTAAAATGAGGATCCAGATTGTGGGGGCAATAAGCTGACATTGTATAAATATACAAAAGTATGAAGGCTATTGCTTAATGCATTGTAAGCCGCCCTGAGTCTCCGGAGAAGGGTGGCATATAAATCAAATTAAAAAAAAAAAAAAGATTGACTCAGCCTTCCATCCTTCCGAGGTGGCATATAAATTAAAGCAAAAACAAAACAAAAACATTTTCACATAAAAATGCATTGAGTATCAAATTCGACGAGTTTCAAAGGAGTTGAGTACCAAAGTACCACTGTATTTCCAAATACAACTCACTCACTTCAGCCTATTCTCTTGAATTTTAACAGCTAGTTATTTTTAAAACGGTAAACAAACAGTAAACAATAGCTCAATCCAGCAACTACCAACCCAGATAAACCAGCTAACAGCAAACAAACAGCAGCCTGATTGAGGAATCACTAAGAATACTCCCACCAGCAAAGACAGGGCAAGCCACTTTAGGTAAAATGAGAGCAAATGTCACTCCCTTGTAGCACTGATGATGTTACCTAGTTGGGTAACGAAATGTCTGCAAGGAAACAATTAAGCTTAGAGAGCACCAAGATACTCAGTCCTTTTCCTCCACCTCTCCCACCACTTCCTCCTCCCTTGTAGCACTGATGATGTTACCTAGTTGGGTAATAAAATGTCTCCAAGGAAACAACCAGGCTCAGAGAGCACCAAGGCCCCCACGGTTCTCCTCCTCCTCCTCTCTACAAACCCCACTCTCTCCTAGCACTGACTATATTATCTAGTTAGGTCATGAAACATCTGCAAGAAAACCACCAAGCTCAGAGAGCACCAAGTCCTTGTTCTCCTCCTCCTCCTCTTCTTACTTCTTCCCCTCTTCCACAAACCCTATCCACTTCTAGCATTGATAATGTTACCTAGTTGGGTCGTGAAATGTCTGCAAGAAAATCAGCAAACTCAGGGAGCACCAAGGACCCCACAATTCTCCTCTTTATCTCCATAAACCCTTAGACTGATGATGTTACCTAATTGGGCCATGAAATGCCTGCAAGAAAACCAACCAAGTTCAGAGGTCACCAAAGACTGCCCCCACGGTCCTCCTCTTCCTCCTTCTCCCCCTCCTCCACTCCACACACCCCACTCCCTTCTAGCATTGACGATGTCATCTACTTAGGTCATGAAACATCTGCCAGAAATTCTGGCTCTAGGATTGCCCGGTGTCATGGCCGAAGTGCTAAATCAGAGGTCTTCAAACCTGGTGATTGGCTCAAAGTCACCCAGTTGGCTTTCATGACTAAGGCGGGACTAGAACTCACCGTCTCCTGGTGATTGGCCCAAAGTCACCCAGTTGGCTTTCATGTCTAAGGCGGGGACTAGAACTCATTGTCTCCTGGTGATTGGCCCAAAGTCACCCAGTTGGCTTTCATGCCTAAGGCGGGGACTAGAACTCACTGTCTCCTAGTGATTGGCCCAAACTCACCCAGTTGGCTTTCATGCCTAAGGCGGGGACTAGAACTCACTGTCTCCTAGTGATTGGCCCAAAGGCTGGAGAATTCTGGGAGTTGAAGTCCACAAGTCTTAAAGCTGCCACGTTTGAAGACCTCTGTGCTAAATGCTAAGAGACTGCTGATAGGATCCTCGGTGGACCGGGTGGATTATTGGGAGATCCACTCTCTTGCCAAGTCAAGCCTGGTCCCGTTTAGGTGGAGATTAAATCTACAAAGGTTTGGAGAAGGACGGCAATTTTTTTCCTCTCTCTATTCAAGGCTGAAGGCCAGGCAGAGAAGAAAATGCAAACAGCTCCCCTATTTATTTTATTCCTTATCTATTATAATTTATCTATTATAACGTAAAGTGGACTCCGGATGGCTTGTAAGTTATAAAACAAATAAAAAAAAAACATAATAATACTTACTTTATGAGCAGCTGCCAGGGGAGAGGAGGAAGCGCTGAGAAGCCTCATGGAGACCTCCAGATGTTGTGGGGGAAGGAAGAAATTGGGCACCGTCACCGGCTCGGATCTGAGGAACGGAGTTAAGGAACAGAACAGCTGGGGCGGGCGCAGGTAGAGTCCTCGACTTACGACGCTTCCTTTAGTGAACTATAGTGAAGTTACGAGGGCACTGGAAAAAAAAGTGACTTTTCAATTTCAATTATACAGAATGTAAAGGACGTGTGTTTGTGTTTTTATTTCTAGAGTTATAATGTACACCGAAGACGGCATTTAATTTCGTTGTACCATATGCAAGGACAATAAACTGTTTTTTTCACACTTACGACCGTTGCGGCATCCCTGTCATGTGATCAAAATCCAGAGGCTTGGCAACTGATTCGTATTTATGACGGTTGTTGCAGTGTCCCCGGGGTCATGTATTCTGAGACCTTCGACAAGCAAAGTCAAGGGGGAAAGCCAGATTCACTTAACAACTGCGCAACTGTTGTCGTATGGCGAGGACTACCTGGCGTTCAGTTCTGTGCTGTCTTGGGCCTGGGTGAGAAAGTTTTTTTTTTTCTTCCCACGGTGTCTCTTGGCTGGGAAAATCCCAGAATGCTCTGGGGCCAGGTGAGAGCCTTTATTCATTGGACTAGAGACCCTCTGTTCTGCCCCAGCTACGGACCCCAAAGAACGCAGCACACACATAAAGTCTGTACAAACCTTACTTTACTAAATTAAATCAGTCTTTTTTCAAACAAAGGCTGTTAATTAACTTCCTTAACAGCCTACAAGAAACCAAAGATAAAGTAATCACAATCTTACTAAGGTTGGCAGAAAGCCCAGAAGCAATTTGCAGAGAATCCAGACGCGAAGGAGAGTGAACTAAAGTTGTTCCCTACAAATTGCTTCAGTTGGCATTCCTCCTTAAATAGGCTAAGGGAGTGGCCAATTAGCCCCAAGCCTTACTCTCGAGGAGACCTCCTCCTGAGGAGCCACTCCTGCCTTTTGGCCGCTCTGCGCTCCCATGCATCGAGAAGAGGCTCCTCCTCTTCTTCCTCTTCACTTATGGAAGTTTCTAGAGGTTCTGAAGGCCCTGGCTGAATCCCCGCCTCTGGCACCACATCTTCTCCAGCCTCCTCATTGTCCGACTCGAGCGCCAGCTGCACAGGCTGCTGGCGCAGCACCACACCAGCCTCCTCGCTGTCAGAATCAGCTACTAACTGCACAGGCCGCTGACGGGCCACAACACCCTCCTTCTCCCAGGCATTGATATCCCCTCCTAGCCCCCCTCTTTTCCAAAGAGCCCTGGTAGCACAGTGGTTACTGTGTGATATTGCAGGCTGACTCTGCCCCACCATCGGCAGTTCGATCCTGACCGGCTCAAGGTTGACTCAGCCTTCCATCCTTCCATCCGAGGTGGCTAAAAGGAGGACCCAGATTTTGGGAGGACAAAATGCTGACTCTGTAAACCGCTTAGAGAGAGCTGGAAAGAACCTTGAAGCGGTATATAAGTCTTAAGGGCTAAGTGCTATTGCTGAGAACAAGATGGCTGAGGCTCCAACAGAGAAATCTCTCTTAGCCAAGTTATTCCCTAGGTTGCCTCCAGGCCAGATATGGAGCATATAAATTTAATAAATTAATTTATACAACCTAGAGCTGGCAATTGTCCAAAATGACTACTATCAGGTAGCCAGAGTGATATAGTAGGGAAGGCAGTCAGCTATAAACCAGGAAATGGTGAATTCTAGTCCTGCCTTAGGCATGAAAGCTGGCTGGGTGACTTTAGTCCAATCATCAGGAGATGGCGAGTTCTAGTTCTGCCTTAGCTAAGAAAGCCAACTTGGTGATTTTTGGCCAATCACCAGGAGATGGTGAGTTCTAGTTCTGCCTTACGCATGAAATCCAACTGGGTGACTTTGGGCCAATCACCAGGAGACAGGGAGTTCTAGTTCTGATTTAAGCATGAATGCCAACTGGGTGACTTTGGGCCAATCACCAGGAGACGGTGAGTTCTAGTCCCGCCTTAAGCATGAAATCCAACTGGGTGACTTTGGGCCAATCACCAGGAGACGGTGAGTTCTAGTCCCATCTTAGACATGAAAGCCAGTTGGTTGACTTTGGGCCAATCACCAGGAGACGGTGAGTCCAGTCCCGCCTTAAGCATGAAATCCAACTGGGTGACTTTGGGCCAACCACCAGGAGACGGTGAGTTCTAGTCCCGCCTTAAGCACAAGCCAGCTGGGTGACTTTGGACCAATCCCTCTCTCTCCCAGCCCACCTCACAGGGTTGTTGGATGTGAGGAAAATAGGAAGAGGAAGGAGTATCAGGTGTATTACCCGCCTGGAGCTGTTTATAAAAATAAAAAAGGCAGAGGGTAAAAACATACAAGCAAGTATAACTTCCTCATTATTTTCTGCTTGATCTGACCTGTAGATGCCAACAATTTAATCTGGGTGATTTTTCCTGAAGGGCTTTTGTTCTGCCAAAGAATGATGGCTTAGAGCAGTGTTTCTCAACCTTGGAAGCTTGAAGATGGGTGGACTTCAACTCCCAGAATCCCCCAACCAGCGCTGCTGGCTGGGGGATTCTGGGAGTTGAAGTCCACCCATCTTCAAGCTACCAAGGTTGAGAAACACTGGTTTAGAGAAATGCTTAGAATTGGCTTCAGCACAACATCTGCCTTCAATGTAGGGTCTGGATAAGGCAAATGGTGACTACAAGTAGTGATAGACTTACAAGCATTCATTTAGTGACCATTCAGAGTTATAATGGCACTAAAAAAACCAGAAAAAAATAGAACAGAAAATTGCACAGAAAAAATAGTCCTCAATTTACAACAGTTCATTTAGTGACCGTTGCAAGTTACAACGGCACTGGAAAAAAAGGTGACTTACGACCGTTTTTCACACTTACGACAGTTGCAGCATCCCCGTGGCCATGTGATCAAAATTCAACTGACTCGTATTTATGACCGTCGCAGTGTCGCTGGGGGGGGGGGTCACGTATTCTGCAATCTTCCGACAAGCAAAGTCAATGGGGAAGCCGGATTCACTTAACAACCCTGTGACTAACTTAGCAGCTGCCGTGATTCGCTTAGCGACTGAGGCCAGAAAGGCCAGAACTCACTTAACAACTGTCTTATCTTAGGAAAGGAAAAAAAAATATTTTTTTTGGGGCTCAATTGTGGTGTTGAGTCTTCGGAGAAAGGCGGCATATGAATTGAACTAATTAAATTAAATTAAATTAAATTGTAATCCTGTCGTTGGTTCTCCTGGTCAGTTTTTGGTGGCTGAATTTAGGACTTCCTGCCTGCAAAACTCAGATTTTTCTCCAAGGACTTAGAAATGTCCTCCTGTTCTTGGAAAGAGGACCTGGGATATTAGTAATCATTAAATCAGACTAATAAACTTGTTCTCCTTTTCTTGGAAACAGTAGGCCAAAGGTTCGGTTACTGAGCCCTGGAGCATGGGCCCAGACTTTGGTCTTTGCTAGCTAAGCATTCTGGGGAATGTAGTCCCGCGTATCTGGGAGGTACTACTAAGCCGAGGAAGGCTATGCTAAGGGTTTTAGCCAGGAGAAAGTGCCTCACATCCAACAGCTGTTTTACGAGTGGCCAACCCCAAGAGTTACCGGCGATCTTTGACTTATGACTATATTTGAGCCCACAATTACAAGTCGTGTCAGCATGTGACCGCACCCGATTTTACGACCTTTACTGCAGTGGCCGTTAAGTGAAACATTGTGGTTGTTAAACAAATGCCATGGTCATTAAATGAATCCATTGGGCGTTTTTTTTACTCTGGGTGTGTTGTTTTTTTTAACAGAAAGCGGAAGTATAGGTCGTTCTTGACTTACAACTTTTCGCTTAGTGACTGTTCGAAGTTACGACGTCACTGAAAAAAAAGGGACTTAGGAGCAGTTCTCACACTTGCGACTGTTGCAGCGACCCTGCGGTCACGTGATCAAAATCCAGACGCTTGGAAACTGGCATGTACTTAGGACGGTTGCAGTGTCCCCACACCCCCCTTTGGCGACCTTCTGACAAAGCAAAGTCGATGGGGAAGAAGCCAGATTCACTTAACAACCGTGTTGTTACCAGCTTAACGACTGCAGTGATTCACTTAATAATTGCGGCAAGCAAGGTTGTAAAATGGGGCAACGCTCGCTAAACAACGGTATCGCTTAGTAACGGGAATTTTGAGCTCAGCTCTGGTCATAAGTTGAGGACTACCTGTAATGGGAGGCCCGGGCAGGAACCCAGCTCTTGTTCAAAAGCTCCCTCACCAACAAAGGAGAACTGTCTCAGGGGTCCTTGGTGCTCTCAGAGCTTCCTGGTTTTCTTGCAGACGTTTCGTGACCCAACTAGAGAATGTCATCAATGCTAGAAGGGTGGGGAAGGGTTGTGGTGAGGAGGGGTGGGGAGGAGGAGGAGAATATGAGCTCCTTGGTGCTTTCTGAGCTTGTTGGTTTTCTTGCAGACATTTCATTACCGCACTAGGTAACATCATCAGTGCTAGAAGGGAGGGGAGTTTGTGGAGAGGAGGAGGAGGAGGAAGAAAGGAGGAGGGTGGACTGGGGGGTCCTTGGTGCTCTCTGAAGTTGGTAGTCTGCAAGAAAAGCAACCAAGCTCAGAGAGCACCGAGTACCCCCTCGAGACTCTCTCAAGTAGGCCAACCTTCCTCAACCGTTGCCTTCCCGGACTTCACCTCCACGACTGCGAGTTGAAGTCAAGTTGAGAAAGAGTCAGTTGTGGCCACTCCGAGGGCCACGGAGAAGAAGTAAAAAGGAAGAGCCCTCCTCGTGGATGCTCCATCATTTATTCAAAGACGAGAGGGCGTTTTGCGCAGTTTGACAAGGTGGAAAAAAGGATACAGTGAAATCATGGGAGCGTTGAACTCTTCCGGGAGGTCTTCCTCGTCTTCTCCAGAGTAGGCCTCGGTCTGTTGCATGGCCTCCTGCAATGTGGGGCAAAGCTGGAGACCCTCTTCTCCTTTCACATTCATTCCTTCTTCCGGCTGGGGGTCTCTGTGCAGGTTTTCTCTTCCTTCTACCGCTTCTGGAGCAACCCTCCGTGGTCTCGCAAAGTCCCCGCCACCTCTGTGCGCGGATGACGCTTCTTCGGGTCCTCCTCCCTGGACTTCCATTGATCTTTCTTGATCAACCTTGTGGATTTCCTCAGGTTCCACCCGCTCTGCAGCTGTGGGTTCTTCTTCCCCAGCTTCGAGTTCATCAGCGTTGTCCTCCTCCTCTTCTTCTTCTCTGGAAGGGCTGTTTCCGGTGGATCCGGTGATGCTGGACACACTCAAAGGATCATCTTGGATCACGGAGCTGCTTCTGATGGCGCTCTCTTTTGGTAAATAGTCCCCGTCCTTCGTCCCTTGGGCCTCGTGGATTAGTTCCTGCTCGGTTTCGGAGACGAAGCTGGACCAGGGACTGGTTTTGTCCGTCACGGTGGTGATTTCATTCAGCGTTCTCGGTTCTACAATGGCCTCCTCGTACTCTTCCTCGCTGTGAGACTGAGCAGAGTCTTCCTCCCTGGGGAGGAATCCCGAGGGAGGAGCTTTTGGGGAGTTTGTTGGGTCAAAGAATCCATACGGCGTGTCTTCTGCGGAAGGGCATTTTCCAAGACCAAATAGAGGTCCTTCACCACCTACCCTGGCATTCCAGAATTCATTGCTTGAGGAAATTTTGAGGATCTCGGCCCCGGCGGCGCCATTTTCCTGCCCAAAGAGGGCCTGGTCAGCGCTTGAGAATCTAGGACCGTCTTGATGAACTTGTGAGGTCTCTTCAGGGTGGAAAGTCATCTTAGGCCACAGACCTAATGGGAGAAAAGGAATTTTGAAAGAAGTTTTTTAATTTGATTTCTTATACACATATTGTAAATGTACATCCTCTTATCCATAATTGATCATATATATATACATACACATATTTTTTCTAACGAAAGCATAAAAATAAGACATTTTAATCACGTTTGGGGTTGCTCTTCTACCCTCTCTTTTCCCAACAAACCTTCTTCTCCTTCTTCTTTCTTTTCTCTCCCTCCCTCCTCTATTTTCTTCCTCTTCCTCTCCTCTCCTCTTCCCTACTTCCCCTTCCTCTCCCCCACTCCTCCCCTCTTTTCCTCCTTTCTCACCTTCTCCCCTGCTCTTGTCCCCTATCCTTTCTTCCTCTCCTTCCCCTTTCTTTCATTCCTCTCTCTCCCTCTCCTCCTCTCTCCCTCTCCTCCTCTCTCTTTTCTTTGGGAGAAATCAGTGATCGTCTTGATAAATTTGGGCTCTTCAGGGTGGAAAGTCATCTTAGGCCACAGATCTAATGGGAGAAAAGGAATTTTGATGCGTCGTCAGGAAAGGGGAAAGCTTTAAGGCAGAGGTCTTCAACCTTGGCAGCTTTAAGACTTGTGGACTTCAACTCCCAGAATTCTCCAGCCAGCTGTGCTGGCTGGAGGATTCTGGGAGTTGAAGTCCACAAGTCTTAAAGCTGCCAAGGTTGAAGACCTCTGCTTTAAGGTTTCAGCATTCGGGCAACTGCCAGTGGTACCAGGGTGGCATTAAACTTGCAAAGAAGTAGGACAAAATTAGTATAAGTAGTCCTCCATTTATAAACGCTGGTTTAGCGACCATTTGAAGTTAGAACGGCACTGAAAAAAGTGGCTTATGATCATTTTTCACGCTTGCATCCCCATGTTTACATCATCAACATTCGGACGCTCGGCAACTGGCTCATATTTATGACGGTTTCAGCCTCCCGGTGGTCACGTGATCCCCTTTTGCGACCTTCCGACAAGCAGATTCACTTAACAACCACGCTACTAACTTAACCACTGCGGTGATTCACTTAAGAACTGTGGGAAGGAAGGTCATGAAATGAGGCAGAACTCACTTAACAAATGTCTCGCTTAGCAAAAAGAAATTTTGGGCTCAATTGAGGCCGTTAAATCGAGGACTATTTATAAGTATCCTACTGGTAGTACAAACAAACACAGCACCGGCTGCCCTGCAAACCAGGTTTTTTCAAATCATGAGCCAGCCTTGGCTGGGTTCAGCAATTCCCAATTTTCCTCTGTAGAAGCTCTCTGTGTCAACTTGCAAAGCTTTCAAGTTGCCGTGAGCAGGAGGGAGGGAGAACTGATAGAGCTGATTGATTTCCCTAACTGAAGCTGCATTCCATACATTCTTCCTGACCGCAATCAGAAGGAGGGTGTTGGATTTCACAGCCAGCCAAAGTGGTGAATTGGAGAATGTGATTTATGACATGGCCAGAGAGGAGGGGAGAGACAGGGTCGTAGGGGAACGTAAATCTACGTAGGATCAGTCCTAACTGTATCCGAGTATTGCCGGAATGTTGCTCCTAATAAATGGCTGTATTTCCTTTGAAGTTTGGATCATGGCTCATGAATTAATTAGGGCATCTTTCGGAAACTTGACACCCTGCCTCCATTATTACTGCTAACACTAAAATAGTTCTACAGGTAGTCCTTGACTTACGACCGCAACTGAGCCCAAAACGTCTGTTGCTAAACCAGGCAGTTGCTAAGTGAGTTTTGTCCCGTTTTATGACCATTCTTCCCACCGTTGTTAAGTGAATCACTGCAGTTGTTACGTTAGTAACACGATTGTTAAAGCGGATCTTATCTTCGCATGTCAGAAGGTCGTAAAAGGGGATTAGGTGACCCCGGGACACAGTGACCATCATAAATAGGAGTCAGTTGCCAAGTGTCTGAATTTTGATCACGTGACCCTGGGGACACTTACGGTCGTAAGTGTGAAAAACAGTCATAAGTCACTTTTTTCAGTGCCATTGTAACTTCGGACAGTCACTACACTAATAGTTGTAAGTCAACTACTACACTAGAGCCTTGGTGGCGCAGTGGTTAGAGTGCAGTACTGCAGGCTACTTCTGCTGGCTGCCTGCAATTTGGCAGTTCAAATCCCACCAGGCTCCAGGTTGACTCAGCCTTCCATCCTTCCAGGGTGGGTCAAATGAGGACCCAGTTTGTTGGGGGCAAGAGGCTGACTCTGTAAACCGCTTACAGAGGGCTGGAAAGCACTGTGAAGCGGTATATAAGTCTTAAATGCTATTGCTAGTGCCCTTCCTTCCTTCCTTCCTTCCTTGGTGCGCAGTGGTTAGAATGCAGAACTCTGCCCACTGCCAGGAGTTCGATCCTGACTGATTCAAGATTGAGTCAGCCTTCCATCCTTCCGAGGTGGGTCAAATGAGGACCCAGATTGTTGGGGGGCAAGAGGCTGACTCTGCTTAGAGAGGGCTGTAAAAGCACTGTGAAGCAGTATATAAATCTAAGTGCTATTGCTATTATTTATTTATTTATTTATTTATTTATTTATTTATTTATTTAATTTCTATACCGCCTTTCTCCCGTAGGACTCAAGGCGGTGTACAGTCAAGAAAAATATAGACACACAAACATAATAAAATTGCTAATTAAAATTATTACTTAGTTTGGTCAATTAAATAAAACCCAGAATTAGATCACATTTAAAAAATCATTCACATTATTACATGTATTAGAAACAATTTATTCCACTTTTTTTTTTTTGACAGCTATGGGACATTTCTTCCCGAATTAAAAAAGCTGATTTTTGTTTTTGAGTTTGAAAGTGTAAAACTTTCTGTCCAGGCAGGGCCTGTTTCTCACTTCCAGTTTGTGGTTCTTTGAGCTGTGACCCTCAATTAGGGAGAGAAAACTCCAGAATGGAAGTCAGACAGAAATACAGCACAGCGGCTCCTTTGGTGCACAATTATATCAGGAATAATTGAATGCTCCGATACACACTTAGAACATGGCTGGGGCTCTTTAACGAACCACTAAAACTGCCGATTTGAAAGATGCGAAACAAGAAATACACAATCACAGATATGCCAGGACAGCCTTTTCTAGGCACAAATGCTATTTAATTTCAAAGCACACGTCTTGTTTTCTTGCAGGAACCAAACGTAGGCCAGACTGGTTTTTTTTTTTTAAAAAAAAATGTTTGCTAAGCCACCCAAACAGTTTCAAATTCTGCTTTGCAAGGGAAGCGCAGTTTTCATTCTTTTCATTCTACTTTTATGCTGAGCCAAAAGTCCAGGCTAGTCACTGTTGCAGACCAAAGCCGAGAAATGAATCCATTTCATATCCTTGCGAAGTCACAGCTATTGTACGCCTTTTACAATGGGCGCAATTTATTAGGAAATGCTGCTTATTTGTGGAACAAGCAACTTACGGCCCGTTTTTCACACTTACGGCCTCCGTGTGGCCATGTGATCAAAATTCGGAGGCTTGGCAACTGGCATGTACTTAGTTAGTTTAGATAGTTTATTATATTTATATACCGCCCCCTCTCCCGAGGGACTCGGGGCGGTGAACAGCCAACAAATAAAATACAACAGATCCAAAATTTAAAACAATATTAAAATCCAATTAAATCAATTTGGCCCATAGTTAAAAACCCTATATTAAACCCCTAATTTTTAAAACAATTCTTTTTAAAAAGAGTTGGTCAGGCCAGCCCGGCTTGATGAAACAAAAATGTCTTTAGGGCAGTTCAGAAAGCACGAAGGTCAGGGATCCGCCGTATCTCTGGGGGCAACTCGTTCCAGAGGGTAGGTGCCCCCACAGAGAAGGCTCTCCCCCTGGGGGCCGCCAGCCGGCATTGTCTAGCTGACGGCACCCTGAGGAGGCCCTCTCTGTGGGAGCGTACTGGTTGGTGGGAGGCTACCGTGGCAGAAGACAGTCTTGTAAGTACCCGGGTCCTAAGCCATGGAGCGCTCTAAAGGTGGTAACCAATATCTTGAAGCGCACCCGGAAGACCACCGGGAGCCAGTGCAGCTCGCGCAGGAGAGGTGTTACATGGGAGCGCCGAGTCGCCCCCATAACCACCCGCGCGGCCGCATTCTGGACCAGTTGGAGCCTCTGGGTGCTCCTCAAGGGGAGCCCCATGTAGAGAGCATTACAGTAGTCCAGACGGGATGTTATGAGGGCATGAGTGACCGTGCGCAGGGCATCCTGGTCCAGAAAGGGACGCAACTGGTGAATCAGGCAAACCTGATAGAAGGCCCCCCTGGGATGGTTGCACTGACCGAGGGGGTCATGTGATCACATTTTGCGACCTTTGGACAAGCAGAGTCAATGGGAAAGCCGGATTCACTTAACAACCGTGTGACTAGTTAACAGCTGCTGTGATTCCCTTAACAAAGGTCGTAAAATGGGGGCAGAACTCACTTAACAACTGTCTTGTTTAGCCCTGGAAATTCTGAGTTCAATTGTGGTTGTTAAGTCAAGGATGAATTAACTTATGCCCACTACCAAATTTCATAGCATTATGCCAGTCATTGCTGACTTCTCCAGAGCCACAGAAGACGGCTGGCACCGCCATGTCAGATGGGGGAAAACATACCGACATGCTGGCTGCTAACTTGAGAAAGCAGATGAATGGGCTTCTCCTGCAGATGATCTTCTTCTGGATCTACCCTCCTGGAGGAAGCTCTCTGGTTGTCAAGACCATCCATGGTGCTGCAAGGAGCACCCAGGTCTGTCAAAGGCCTGGTGAGCTTTTCGCGGAAATACCTCTGGATCTCATCCAGCTCGTTCAGGTTTTTTCTGGAAGAGAATGGAATGGAATGGATTAGAATAGAACATGAATTAGGAATAGAAGAGAATAGAATAAAATATGAATTAGGAATAGAATAGAATAGAAGAGGAAGAATAGAATAGAATAGAATAGAATAGAATAGAAATAGAATAGAATAGAATAGAATAGAATAGAATAGAATAGAATAGGAATTAGGGATAGAATAGAATATGAATTAGGATAGAATAGAATAGAATATGAATTAGGAATAGAATAGAATAGAACAGGAAGAATAGAATAGAATATGAATTAGGAATAGAATAGAATAAAATATGAATTAGGAATAGAAGAGAAGAGAAGAGAAGAGGAAGAATAGAATATGGAATATGGAGAATAGAATTGAATGGAAATATAGAATAGAATAGGAACAGAATATAGAAAACAGTATAGTATAGTATAGCATAGCATAGCATAGCATAGCATAGCATAGTATAGTATAGAATAGAATATGAATTAGGAATAGAATAGAATAAATATGAATTTGGGATAGAATAGAATATGAATTAGGAATAGAATAGAATAGGAATAGAATAGAATAGAAGAGGAAGAATAGAATAGAAGAGAATATGAATTAGGAATTAGGAATAGAATAAAATATGATTAGGAATAGAATAGAATATGAATTAGGAACAGCAAAGAATAGAAGAGGAAGAATAGAATAGAATAGAATAGAATAGAATAGAATAGAATATGAATTAGGAATAGAATAGAATAAAATATGAATTAGGAATAGAAGAGAAGAGAAGAGGAAGAATAGAATATGGAATATGGAAAATAGAATTGAATGGAAATATAGAATAGAATAGGAACAGAATAGAAAACAGTATAGTATAGTATAGCATAGAAAATAGAATAGAATAGAATAGAATAAGAACGGAAGAGGGAAGAGAACAGTATAACTTTATTGTTACTTTGGAGATAGGTCAGGTACTAGATCCCTGACTTACAATCATTTGTTTAGTGACCACTGGAAGTTAGAACGGCAGTGAAAATAGTGACTTATGATGATCATTTTTCACACTTACGACCGTTGTTGCAGCGCACCTCTGGTCAGTTGATCAAAATTTGAGTGCCTGGCAACTGGTGTCTATTTATGACTGCTGCATTGTCCCTGGGGTCATGTGATCGCGTTTTGAGACCTTCTTACAAAGCAAAGTCAACGGAGAAGTCAAATTCGCTTAACAACCGTGTTACTAACTTAACAGCTGCGGTGATTCACTTAACAACGGTGGCAAGAAAGAAAATGGGGCAAAACTCATGTATCGGTCTTGCTTAGCAAATGGAAGTTGGGGCAAAATTGTGGTCTGGCTTCCCTGACTGCTTGTCGGAAGCAGACCAAATTTTGATCCCCTGACCATGGGGGCGATGCTGCCGCGGTCACAAGTGTGAAAAACGGTCGTAAATCTCTGAATTTTTCAGTGCCGTCGTAACTTTGAACAGTCTCTCTAAATGAACGGTCGTAATTGGAGGACCTCAGGCATGACTGCTTTTTATGCCCTACATTTCAGAACCAAAAAAAAAAAGCTTTCGAAAAGTAATCCTTTACTCCTGCTCTGCCCACTGGGACATGAATGCAAAATCTTGCTGAGTCTTTTCACCTGAGTGCTCTGAAGAGGGAGGTGTGGGAGGAAAGGGACAGGGAGTCGAGTCCTTCCGTTTGCTCCGTCTTCTCCTCCGCTTGCTGCAACGACGTGTGGAACCGACGGACATTCTGCACATGCTCTTTGTAACGGGATCCAGCCCTGCGGGAGAGCCGGGATTTAGAATAACAGAGGTCCCCAAACTTGGCAGCTTTAAGACTTGTGGACTTCAACTCCCAGAATTCTCCAGCCAGCATAGCTGGCTGGAGAATTCTGGGAGTTGAAGTCCACAAGTCTTAAAGCTGCCAAGTTTGGGGACCTCTGATTTAGAATAACAGAGTCGGAAGGGACCCTTGGAGGTCTTCTAGTCCAACCCCCTGCTTAGGCAGGAAACCCTACACAATTTCAGACAAATGGTTATCCAACATCTTCTTTAAAAACTTCCAATGTTGGAGCATTCACAACTTCTGGAGGCAAGTTGCTCCACTGATTAATTGTTCTGACTGTCAGGAAATTTCTCCTTAGTTCTAAGTTGCTTCTCTCCTTGATTAGTTTCCACCCGTTGCTTCTTGTCCTGCCTTCAGGTGCTTTGGAAAATAAACTGACCCCTTCTTTTTTTTTTTTAATTTGATTTATATGCCGCCCTTCTCCGGAGACTCAGGGCGGCTTACAATGCGCTAAGCAATAGCCTTCATCCTTTTGTATATTTATACAAAGTCAGCTTATTGCCCCCACAAACTGGGTCCTCATTTCACCTACCTTAGAAAGGATGGAAGGCTGAGTTACCTTGAGCCTTGGAGAGATTCGAACCAGCAGTAAATTGCAGGCAGCTGTGTTAATAACAGGGTGCGTAGACCACTGTACTATCAAGGCTCTTCTTCTTTGGGGCAGCCCCTCAAATATTGGAAGGCTGCTATCATGTCACCCTTAGTCCTTCTTTTTATTAAACTAGACGCACCCAATTCCTGCAAATATTCTTTATAGGTTTTAGCCTCCAGTCCCCTAATCCTCTTTGTGGCTCTTCTCTGCACTCTTTCTAGAATCTCCACATCCTTTTTAACATTCAAAATAAAATAAAATAAAGATAAAAAGCCCTAGTAATAAATGTATTCTAAAAGCCCCTAAACCACAAGGGAAGAAAATTTTAACTTTTAATTTTAACTTTTAGCTTTCTTGCAGACGTTTCATGACCCAACTTGGTAACATCATCAGTGCTAGAAGAGAATGGGGTTTGTGGAGGAGGAGAAAATTAATTTTAACTTTTATTTACTGCTGTTTTTATTGTGGTTGTGCACCGCCCTGAGTCCTTCGGGAGAAGGGCGGTATAAAAATTCAATAAATAATAAGAAATAATAATAAGAAATAAGAAAATGAAATGGTGGATAAAGAACCAAATAAAACAGGTTTGACGGAACACGCTATACAGAACTGAAAATGCACATTATGAAGAAATGTTAGACACGACTAGGTACGGCAGCTCCAAAAATATGCGCACTCGTGTGCCATTAAACAACAGTAAAGAAAGTGGGGTCCTTGGTGCGCTTCTGAGCTTGGTGGTTTTCTTGCAGCCGTCTCATGACCCAACTAGGTAACTTCATCAGTGCAAGAAGGGAGTGGAGTTGAGGAGGAGGAGGAGGAGGAGGAGAACGACTGTGGGGATCTTGGTACTCTCTGAGCTTGGTGGTTTTCTTGCAGACGTCTCATGACCCAACTAGGTAATATCATCAGTGCTAGAAAGTGATTGGGTTGGAGGAGGAGGAGAAGGAAGAAAAGGTATAGAAATATTAGTGCTATAACACTGGTGATGTTTTGGAGTTGAGTCATGAACCTCCTGCAAGAAAACCACCAAGCTTCAGAGGGCACCAAGGGTTCCACACTCCTTCTCCTCTTCTTCCTCTCCACACACCCCACTCCCTTCTAGCAGTGATAAAGTTACTTTGTTGGGTCATGAAATGTCTGCAAGGATGCAACCATGCTCAGGGAGCACCCAGAGTTTAACCCTGAGCGACAAATATTCTCTACTATTGTGTTTCCCCGAAAACAAGACCCTGTCTTATATTTTTTTGAACCCTGAAATAAGCGCTTGGCCTTATTGCCATGGGCTCAAAAGCCCGATTGGGCTTATTATCAGGGGATAATGTCTTATTCTGGGGGAAACAGAGTATTGGTAAAGAATATTTATTTATTTAAACATTATGTGCCACCCATCTCACTGTTACGTGATACAACAGAAGAGGCAGAATATCAAATTTTAGTGTTTCGGAATTTGGGGAAAACACATCAGATCCACCATAAACGGAAGACCCCTGCCAATAAATGCCTGGGATGAAATAAGTGTAACGCTATGCAGTAATTCTGCAGCCCTGGAAACATCCAACTCTGGTTTTGTCTTACCTCGCGTGACCGGAAGCTTCCGGGCTCTTCCATGGAGAACCTGAAAGTTTGGGGGCGCCTCTGGTGGAGAAGGATGAGAATGAAGGATACGAGTCCCTGGCCTGCAAGACAAAAGGCCTTACGGTGGGAAACCTGCAACAACCTACAACTGGACAATCGGTTTATTAGGATCTGGCAAAAGTAGCTTGCCAGAAGTATACAATTTTTAATTCTTTTAAATTCTTGAGCTTTCCAGGAAATTCAATACAGGTAGTCCTCGACTTACGACCACAATTGAGCCCAAATTTTCTGTTGTTAAAGCGAGGCGTGTCTTAAGTGAATGCTGCCCCATTTTATGACACAGTTGTTAAGGGATTCTGGCTTCCGCCTTGACTTTGCTTGTCAGAAAGTCGCAAGAGGGAATCACGTGACACCCCCCCCCCGGGGACACTGCGACGGTCATAAATACGAGCCAGCGTCTGAAATTTGGTCATGTGACCACGGGGGATGCTGCAACAGCAGCAGTTAAGTGTGGAAAAAAAACGGTCCTAAGTCACATTGTTGGGTGCTGTCGTAACTTCGAATGGTCACTAAACGAATGGTTGTAAGTCGAGGATTACCTGTAGTCAATAAAGAAATAGGAAAGAAAGAAATCGAGAATAAATAAATAAACAATAAATAAATAAATAAAGTAAAAAAAACAACAACCAAAAAATAATTGACTGGAATAATAAATAAACGAATAAATAAAACAATAAATAAATGAATAAATACAAAAATAAATAAAACAAAGCAAAACAAAAATAAATAAAATAAAACAATAAACAAAACAATACATTAATTAAACAATTACACCTTAAATAAAACAATACATAAATACATAAATAAAACAATAAATAAATAAAAAACTTTCACAGGCAGTTTTGTCCGCGCAACAAGCAGACTCGCCGAAGAGAAACGGGAAACGGTACGTACAGCGGATTCTGGTGTTTTTACCTGGCAGCTTCTTGCCTGCCTTTCTTCTTTCAGGTGAGCGATATTTTCGAGTGGAGAGACGGCGACTTTGACCTGCCCTCGGCACTGCCCGGTCAGGTCGGTGATGTCATACCAGCCGCAGATGTACTGGAAGCCGGAGAGCAGGGGGGAGAGGTCCACCGATGCAAATCCTATCACTCGTTCAACGTCTGCAGGGAAAACGGCGTGTCAAAAGCACGCGAGACATCTCAGCAATTACAATTTGCACCTTGCCGTAAGAAACCTTGGTTTGTGCCCCAATTCCAAATGTCGGCCTCTAAGAAAGCCAAATGGACAAGGGCACCGAGGGAAAAGGCGGTCGACTGAGTAGAAAATGATCACGTGTTAACTTTGAAGGCTCTAGTTTAATCTACCTTCTTCTAAATGACCCAGACTACAGCTCCCATTATCAGATATATGCACCTTTCAAATAGCAATTAAAAACACCCTCAAACATGGTTAGTTGCAAGCAATTGGGAATTTTTAAAAATATACTTCCCTTGCTTTGTAAAAGGGAAGACTTCATTTTCAAACACAGAAGCTATTTATTCATTCATTTGTTTGTTTTTTTCCTTCCTTCCTTCCCTTCTTTCCTCCTTTTACCTCTTCCTTCCACCCTCACATTCTTTCTTTTTCTTTCCTTCCTTCCCTTCTTTCCTCCTTTCTCTTTCACCTCACTTCCTCCCACTCGTTCTTCTCCCTCCCATTCTTTCTTTTCTTTCCTTCCTTCCCTTCTTTCCTCCTTTCTCTCGTTCACCTCACTTCCTCCCACTCGTTCTTCTCCCTCCCTCACATTCTTTTTCTTTCCTTCCTTCCTTTCCTTCCTTCCCTTCTTTCCTCTCTTTCACCTCACTTCCATTCGTTCTTCTCCCTCCCTCACATTCTTTTTTTTCTTTCCTTCCTTCCTTTCCTTCCTTCTGTTCTTTCCTCCTTTCTCTTTCACCTCACTTCCATTCGTTCTTCTCCCTCCCTCACATTCTTTCTTTTTCTTTCCTTCCTTCCTTTCCTTCCTTCCGTTCTTTCCTCCTTTCTCTTTCACCTCACTTCCATTCGTTCTTCTCCCTCCCTCACATTCTTTCTTTCTTTCCTTCCTTCCTTTCCTTCCCTTCTTTCCTCCTTTCTCTCTTTCACCTCACTTCCTCCCACTCGTTCTTCTCTCCCTCACATTCTTTTTCTTTCCTTCCTTCCTTTCTTCCCTTCTTTCCTCCTTTCTCTCTTTCACCTCACTTCCTCCCACTCGTTCTTCTCCCTCCCTCACATTCTTTTTCTTTCCTTCCTTCCTTTCTTCCCTTCTTTCCTCCTTTCTCTCTTTCACCTCACTTCCTCCCACTCGTTCTTCTCCCTCCCTCATATTCTTTCTTTTTCTTTCTTTCTTTCCTTCCTGCCTGCCTGCCTGCCTGCCACCCATCAAAAACTTTGGGTGGCGTACAATTCCAAAAGTATAAAAACAATGAAAAGGATGTAAAAGCATTCTAAATACAATAAAAGCATCCAAATGAAATACACATGGCCACCGAGATACTTAGCCAGTTAACAGTACAGGCAGTCCTTGACTTACGACCATTCGTTTAATGCTTCAAAGTTACAACGGCATAGGAAAAAAGTAACCGAGGACCAGTTTTTCACCCTTATGATGGATTGTTGCGGCATCCCCAAAGGATTCGTGTGAACAAACTTTTGGGTGCTTAGCAACTGACATGTATTCATGGGACTATCATTTGCGACCTTCTTAGGAATCTTCTGACAAAGTTAAAGTCAAAGTCGAGAATTACCTGTAGCCATTTACAGCCACACATGAGCAATAATAAATACCAATAGCACAGGATGGATAAGCAGCTAGCTCGCAATCAACCGATTTTTAAGAAAGATTGCTATGTTATGGTTAGAAGTTGCTTGTTGCGAAGGAGTTCGGATTAGTGACAGGGGTACCTGCTTTATGCCATATTTTGAAGACCAGAGTTTTCTGGGAATCCAGCAGGAGTTCCTTGGAGAGTCTGCAAAGAATCAAAAAAGAAATCAGAAATATATTTAAACGACAGCTGGAGGAAATATCACTTCCTAGCATGTTTTTTTTTTTTGGTATACGGGCAGTCCTCGACATACGACCACAATTGAGCCCAAAAATTTCTGTGGCTAAGCAAGTCACAGCTTAGCCACAGGGGGCCCGAAAGCCCTACTAAGCAGGTATATACAAAAGTATAAAGGCTATTGCTTAACGCATTTGTAAGCTGCCCTGAGTCTCCGGAGAAGGGCGGCATATAAATCAAACCAATAAATAAATAAATAAATAAAATCATGTGTTAAGTGAGTTCTGCCCCATTTTACCACCTTTCTTGCCGCAGTTGTTAAGCGAATCACTGCTGTTGTTAAGTGAGTCACATGGTTGTTAAGGGAATCTGGCTTGACTTTGCTTGTCGGAAGGTCGCAAAAGGAGATCACGCGACCCCGGGACACTACGACCGTCATAACTACGAGTCAGTTGCCAAGCGTCCGAATTTTGATCACCTGATGCTGTAATGGTTGTAAATGTGAAACATGGTCGTAAGTCGCTTTTTTCAGCGCTGTCGTGACTTCGAACGGTCACTGAATGAACGGTTGTAAATCGAGGATTACTTGGGTAGACGCTTGCGTCAATCTGATTCTCTCCAATTATGTTGAAGAAGAAGTTCCTTGAAGAGTCTGCAAAGAGCCTTGGTAGTACAGTGGTCTAAAGCACCCTGTTATTAAGACCAGCTGCCTGCAATTACTGTAAGTTCGAATCTCCCCAGGCTCAAGGTCGACTCAGCCTTCCATCCTTTCTAAGGTAGGTAAATTGAGGACCCGGTTTGTGGGGGGCAATAAGCTGACTTTGTATAAAATATACAAAAGTATGAAGGCTATTGCTTAGCACATTGTAAGCCGCCCTGAGTCTCTGGAGAAGGGCGGCCTATAAATCAAATTTAAAAAAAAAGAAAGAAAGAGAAAGAAGGAAAGAAAGAAAGAAGAAAAAGAAAGAAAGAAAGAAAGAAAGAAAGAAAGAAAGAAAGAAAGAAAGAAGAAAGAAAGAAGCTGACTTTGTATAAAATATACAAAAGTATGAAGGCTATTGCTTAACACATTGTAAGCCGCCCTGAGTCTCCGGAGAAGGGCGGCATATAAATCAAATTAAAAAAAAAAAAAGTTCTAACAATCCTCCAGAAACTAGGGCAGTCTATCCTATATGAAGAGCCGAGGTTGGCAAAACGACAAAACTGTGGTAGGTCTGGAGTTTACTTCTAATCTCTGAGTTTTCTACCTAGTGAACAATAGTGGGGAATGGAAGGATTTTTGCAAGGAATATATGTAAACCCTTCTGTTCCCTACTATCCTGTCAGAGCTGAAGAAGCTCCTTGGAGGAGAAGCAAAACATCTTCCAAAGAAAAAAACAGACAGTCCAATTCCCTCCTGAAAAAAAGCACCTTTGGGACAGGTGTCTGACATATTCCTGATGTCTTACATACCTTGTCTGGTGCTGAAAATCCCAAACGGGGCAATCTGTGTTTTCTACTGTTGTGGTGGTGATCGGGTTATCGACATCAGTGGCCACGAAAGACACGTAGCTACAGGGCGACGTTACTCCCCGCTCTGCAAGAGGACTCCCTGAAACCGAATAATTTAGAATCAGTTTGCAGTTATCAGTTTGCGTTCTACGACAATTTCATAACCAAAGAAACAAAAGTCAATCAGAATAGAGCGGGAAGGGACCTTGGAGGTCTTCTAGTCCAACCCCCTGCTCAAGCAGGAGACCCTATTCCATTTCAGACAAATGTGTGTCCAGTCTCTTCTTAAAAGCCCTCCAGTGATGGAGCACCCACAACTTCTGGTGGCAAGCTGTTCCACTGGTTAACTGTCCTCACTGTTAGGACGTTTCTCCTTAATCCCAGGCTGCTTCTCTCCTGGATTAGTTTCCATCCGTTGTTTTAACTTTTAACCTGAATGGTTTCCCGACAACAGGCTGATCAGGAAACCTGAAAAATTGCTTTAACAGAACATAGAATCGTAGAGCTGGGGGGGACCTCAGAGGTCTTCTAGTCCAACCCCCTGCTCAAGGCAGGAGACCTAAGGTGAAAGAGGTCTGGGTTGGGAACGACTTTATGGCTCTGGTTTCCTGCACAGGGTTTATAGTGAAAAATCTGGATTTACCAGCCACATTCGGAGTTTAAGTTTCTTTGGAGAAATGGAAGTTGACATTCTTAGCGGGTTAAGCGAGACGTTTGTTAACCGAGTTTTGCCCCATCTTAGCACCTTTCTTGCCGCAGTTGTTAAGTGGATCACTGCCGTCGTTAAGTGAGTCACACTGTCGTTAAGTGAATCTGGCTTCCCTGCTGACTTTGCTTACCAGAAGGTCGCAAAACGTGACCTTGGGATGCTCCGACCGTCGTAAAGATGAACCAGTCACCGAGCTTTTGAATTTTGATCTCGTGGCCATGGGGATGCTGCAACGGTCGTAAGTGTGAAAATTGGTCGTAAGTCACTTTTTTTCAGTGCCGTTGTAACTTCGAACGGTCCCTAAATGCACGGTTGTAAGTTGAGGACTCTCTGCACATGTGGTACTCGACTTACAATCATTTGTTTAATGACTCTTCGAAGTAACAACATATTGCAGCATTCCCAGGTCATGTGATCAAAATTCAGACGGTTGGCAACTGACTTGTATTTATGATGGTTGCAGTGTCCGGGGGAGGGGGGGTGTCATTTGTGATCCCCTTTTGCAAACATCTGACAAGCAACGTCAATGGGGGAGGCCAGATTCTCTCAACAACTGTGGTACTGAAAGGCAAACCTGGCAGGAAAGGACGTAAAATGGAGCAAAACTCACTTAACGACTGCCTTGCTTAGCAATGGAAATTTGGAGCTCAGTTGTGGTCGTAAGTCAAGGATTTACAACCTCTTTGTTTTCTGTAGTCGCATTTCGCTGCAGATTCTCCTCTAGTGACCAGGGTACTACAGAGGAGTAAAAAAAAAAAAACCCCAGATAATAGTATTAAACTTTTTCCTAGGATGCTAAGCCTGTTTTTCTGCCCTGGGTGGCCTTTTGACTCCTGTTTCTCTTGCACCAATGGCTGGCCTTCTCCAGCCCCTGCCCACTGTACTTTCAACCAAGGCATGTCCTCATCCTTGCCCAAAGAAAGGCATTATATAAAAATAAGCAACTCTACCCACTTCTGGTTTTTACTGCAAAATCCTGGGTGCTTTTGTAATAAAACTCTGCAGCTATGGCCTTGACCAATATGGAGTGCAATGGAGTGGAGTGGAATGGAGTGGAGTGGAATAGAATAGAATTAGAATAGAATAGAGAAAAAATATAGAATAGAATAGAATAGAATAGAATAGAAAATATGGAATGGAATGGAATGGAATGGAATGGAATGGAATGGAATGGAATAATGGAATGGAATGAATAGAATAGAATAGAATAGAATAGAATAGAATAGAATAGAATAGAATAGAATAGAATAGAATAGAATAGAATGGAGTGGAGTGGAGTGGAGTGGAATAGAATAGAATTAGAATAGAATAGAGAAAAAATATAGAATAGAATAGAATAGAATAGAATAGAAAATATGGAATGGAATGGAATGGAATGGAATGGAATGGAATGGAATAGAATAGAATAGAATAGAATAGAATGGAGTGGAGTGGAGTGGAATAGAATAGAATTAGAATAGAATAGAGAAAAAATATAGAATAGAATAGAATAGAATAGAATAGAAAATATGGAATGGAATGGAATGGAATGGAATGGAATGGAATGGAATGGAATAGAATAGAATAGAATAGAATAGAATAGAATAGAATAGAATAGAATAGAATAGAATAGAATGGAGTGGAGTGGAATAGAATAGAATTAGAATAGAATAGAGAAAAAATATATAAATAGAATAGAATAGAATAGAATAGAATAGAATAGAATAGAATAAAAATATGGAATGGAATGGAATGGAATAGAATAGAATTAATGGAATAGAATTAATGGAATGGAATGGAATAGAATAGAATAGAATAGGTGATGGCTAACCTTTTTGCTGTCGCGTGCCAAAAGTGGGGGAGTGCAGTGGGGGGGGTTCATTCGTGCACTGCCCACACCCATAATTCAATGCGCCCCACCCCCCGTGCATGTGTGCGTGACCCCCCCCGCACTCTCCCCACTTTTGGCACACGATAGCATGGTGGGCCCAGTAGGCCCGTTTTCGCCTTCCCCAGGCTCCAGAGCCTTTTGAGGAGCCTGGGGAGGGCAAAAACAGCCTCCTCTGCCCCCACCCGGAGGCGCTCCGGAGGCCGGAAACAGCCGGTTTTCTGACTTCCAGTCCCACCGGAACTGAGCTACGGCAATGCTCGCGTGCCCACCGATATGGCTCTGCGTGCCACAGGTTCGCCATCATGGGAATAGAATAGTGGAATGAATAGAATAGAATAGAATAGAATAGAATAGAATAGAATAGAATAGAATAGAATTACAATTAAAAGAAAAGAGAAAAGAATAGAACAGAACAGAACAGAAGAAAGAATAGAAATGTCAGGTTTCCAAATGATGAAACCCATTCAAAAAGAAATGGACAAAATCCATCTTCCAAAAAAAGTTTCTTTTAAGAATATTAATAGAATAGAATTAGAATAGAATCAGAATTAAAATAGGAGAATATAGAATAGAAGCGGACATTGTTTATTGGCCAAGTATGATCGGATACACCAGGCATTTGTCTCCGGTGCAGAAGCTCTGAGTTTACCAAGAAACAACTACTAAGTGATATAATCATAATGATTACACCAATAAGAGAAGGTAGTAAAAATAGATGAGAAGGATAATAGTAATCCAGCCATACTACATGTCTAATATAACGAAACATCTAACATAGATTTGCCCCAAATAAGTGGGAAGACAAGCTCCATTAGGGTGGGATGGGTCTCAAAATTGAAGTCAAAAGGATGGCCACTGAAGCCACCGTTTTCACTTCTCTTCCCCCCCCCCGAAAATACAGCCTATACGACAAGCATATCATTGCCACACACATTTCAAGAGGGTGATAAAGAATAAAGATTGCAGAGAGAAGAAAAAAGCTGCTGAAACAAGGTAAAAATAAAGTAAAAATAAAGTAAAGCATTAACATTATAAAGAACTTTTGACAGCTCGTTTTTCCTTTCCTTCCAATAGTTAATAATCACTAAGTGTTTGTTCTTGAAATCTGGGAGGGTGTTTCTTATTTAAACCATTTTATGTAATGCTGTTTAACTGATCTTTTTTTTTTTTTTTAAATGTATTTCAAATGTCTAAACTGGCCTTGTTTTATGACATTATCTTATTTATTATTTATTTATGTTGTCGCATTTCTATGCCGCCCAACTCCCAAGGGACTCTTATCATATATGAGGAGACAAACTTGGTTAAATTTAGTGAAATATATACAGGCAGTCCTCCACTTATGACCACAATTGAGCCCAAAATTTCCGATGCAGCAGTTAAGTGAACCAGTGCAGTCTTTAAGTGGGTAACATGGTCGTTAAGTGAGTTTTGTCCCGTTTTACCACCTTTCTTGCGACCGTTAAGAGAATCACTGCAGCCCTTAAGTGGGTAACATGGTTATTAAGTGAGTTTTGCTCCATTTTACAACCTTTCTCACCACAGTTAAGTGAATCCCTGCAGTCCTTAAGTGGGTAACATGGTTATTAAGTAAGTTCTGCCCTGTTTTACGACCTTTCTAGCCACAGTGGTTAAATGAGTTACTGCAGCTGTTAAGTTTGTGACACGGTCGTTAAGTGAATCTGGCTTCCCCATTGACTTTGCATGTCAGTAGGTCGCAAAAGTTGATCACATGACCGCAGGGCACTGCAACCGAACTGGTATGAACCAGTTGCCATGCATCCAAATTTTGATCACGTGACCATGGGGATGATGGAACTGCTGTTGAGTGTGGAAAACGGTCGTTAAGTCACTTTTTCCCCCAGTGCCGCTGTGACTTCGAACGGTCGTTAAGCGGATGGTTGTAAGTTGAGAAAAAAAAAACCTGTATAAATCCTTTCTTTTCTGATCAATCTCTCCTCCCTACAGAGATGAGCCTGCATAAGAGCCTTGGTGGCACAGCAGACTAAAGTGCTGTTAAATAACACCAGCTGCCTGCAATTACTGTGAGTTCGAATCTCACCAGGCTCAAGGTTGACTCAGCCTTCCATCCTTCCGAGGTAGGTAAAATGAGGACCCGGATTGTGGGGGCAATAAGCTGACTTTGTATAAGAAAGAACACCGCTTAGTGGGGGCCCAAAAGCCCTACTAAGCAGGTATATACAAAAGGATGAAGGCTATTGCTTAACGCATTGTAAGCCACCCTGAGTCTCCGGAGAAGGGCGGCATATAAATCGAACCAATAAATAAATAAATAAATAAACAACCGGTCAGTTTCAAATAGTTCTGATCCAAGCTGAGCTGCAAGTGGACAAATCTGGCCTTTATTTCGTATTTGTAGGAACAACTCCTGAAAAAGAGAATTTGCTGGAGCAGTTAGTAGTTCTTCCTGAAAGCAGAAAAATAAAATAAAATAAAATAAAAAAAACTTAGGAGGAGGAATGTGTTAGCAGTGCAAGAATGAGGTGGGCAGGGGGTACTTTGAGCCACGGGGAGGAAACTCTTGAGAATAATTTCCCAACTGTTCTTTAACCCGGTGTTAAGCTGTACCGCTCTGGAAGCCAGCTGTTGATCAAAAAAAACCTTCCTTGGGAGAAATATGGAAAAAGTTGCTTCCTTGATTAATCCGGTTTAATCTAGTTGTGTGTGCTGGCATTCGGCACGGATTATTGGAGTGCATCAGGATGGAATGATCAGGAGGTTTTTTGAGAAACGGATGTTCTTGGTGGAGCACAGCGCAAGGAAAGGCCAAGACAACACACTGATGTGGGAGGAAATTCTAGGAATAAGGTCACCAGAAGCAAAAAGCAGAACAAAGGGTTGTTCCATGGCTGCCCTCTTCCACCTCCAGCTTGCCTGGATTGCAAACGCTTGCATTTTATTTGTACAGGTAACAACACCTCACTTGGGGCCCGTTTGAAGTTACAAGGGCACTGAAAATAGTGACTTATTTGGCTAATAGAAATAACGTCGGAAAAAATATATTTATATTTATATTTGTTTCCATTTCTATACCGCCCTTCTCCAAACAGGACTCAGGGCGGTGAACAGCCAAAGTAAAAAACAGAACATACAAAATTTAAAAACAGTTTAAAATAATTAAATATTTTGGCCGTAAATTAAAACAACCCAATTTAAAATCAATTAAAAATTTAACTCAAGCCAGCCCAGCTAGTTGAAATAAATAGGTTTTCAGGGCCCGACGAAAAGTCCGGAGGTCTGTTATTGTACGTATCTCTGGGGGGAGGTTGTTCCAGAGGGTGGGCGCCGCCACAGAGAAGGCTCTCCCCCTGGGGGTCGCCAGCCGACATTGTCTGGCGGACGGCACCCTGAGGAGGCCCACTCTGTGGGAGCGTACTGGCCGGTGGGAGGCTATTGGTGGCAGAAGGCGGTCTCGTAAGTACCCCGGCCCTAAGCCATGGAGCGCTTTAAAGGTGGTCACCAACACCTTGAAGCGCACCCGGAAGACCACCGGGAGCCAGTGCAGCTCGCGCAGGAGGTGTCACATGGGAGCTCCATGTTGCTCCCATAATCCCCCGCGCGACCGCGTTCTGGACCAGCTGGAGCCTAGAACTTAAACCAGAATTTTTTTTTAACTAGGGATTATTAAAGAAAATTATAAAAAAAGAAAGAAAGTATTTAATACTACGTATAATCACTGCGGCCAGATTGGCGTTATAGCTCAATTTTGGAAAACTGATCAACTTGCCAACAGAACAACTGATAATCCAAAAAAAAATATCTATAATTGTGTGGAAATGGATAAATTAACCTTTGAATTGAAAGATAAGGTAGACTCAAAATATTATATAGCATGGAATAGATGGTATGATTGGATAAATCGGAGAAATGAAGGGAAATGTAAAATTCTGAATAACAAAAACTAAAAAAAAAATAAAAATGCACCGTCAATAAGACAATGGATATGTGACTAAAGTCACTTTTTTTTTTTATTAAAATGATTTATATGCCGCCCTTCTCCGGAGACTCAGGGCGGCTTACAACGCGTTAAGCAATAGACTTCATACTTTTGTATATTTTTATACAAAGTCAGCTTATTGCCCCCACAAACTGGGTCCTCATTTTACCTACCTTAGAAAGGATGGAAGGCTGAGTCAACCTTGAGCCTGGCGAGATTCGAACTTACTTTAATTGCAGACAGCTGGAGTTAAATTACAGTGCTTTTAGTCTGCAGAACTATCCAGGCTCCTGTTTTTCTTTTTATGTAGTGTTATTTATATGGATATATATGTGTTTAGTGTATATATATGTAGCATTTCGTTTTTAAATGTTTAATAAAGTTTGTTTTTTAAAACCAAAAAAAGAAAAAAAAAGAAAATAGTGACTTATGATCGTTTTTCACACTTTGGGGCTGGTCCCCCCCCCCATTGAACGATGGGGGTGGGGGTGGGGAAGCAGCGATGGGAAGTGTCTGGGAGGGGAAAATTATACCTAGGGATTTGGCACGCAATTATCAGTTCTGGCTTTTCTTTACACTTGACCTTTAGTAGACGATACCTTTCTCAATGAAGGGAGTCAAGGGTCTTTCTCGCTTAGAGGTTCCAGATGAGGCAGGACTGACACCTGCTTACCTTTTAAGCTTAGGTGCATGGCTCTTTCCACGAGAACGCTCACAGCGAACGTGTTCTCCGGGTCACTGGCAGGAGGTTTGTCCTGGGGGACTTCGTCGACGGAAGGATTTGCTTCCGGGCGGACTTCCGGTTCCTGCTCCGCTGCCTTCTTCTCTTCTTCAACGCTGTTGCTGCTGCTGTCCCTGTCATCTTCACGGTTCCCAGGTCCTCCACATGGACCAGCAGGTGTCACCGTAATGTGAACACGCAGCGCGGCTCCCCCCAGGTTGGCAGCGTTTCGTCGGAACAAAGGAAAGACACCTGCGAGAAGGGGAGGAAGTGAGGCTCATTCGAAAGGCAGATCTCGCCCCTGTGAGAAAAAACTGCTCTTAAAACAATTAGTCCCAAACAAAGCTATTTTATTATAACAGCTGAGAATTACTTCATACCCAGCTTAGTCCCAATTAATTCCAAAACAAGTCCTTCAGAAAAAGTCCTTCGGCCTTATCACAAACTTTTATCTTCTTTGGCACCCTGCCAAAGGCCTTTCCTGGCAAAGCCCCACGAAGTTCAGAAACAAGAGATGCTGACTGGAAACAGATTTAGCAACATTGCTTTCCTACAAAGAGCCCAAGAGCCTTTGCTGCTCTTTTAAGCCTTATGGGAGGGGCCAATCATCTCCCGGCCTTACTCCCGAGTCGTCCCTTTTGCTTTAGCTGCTCTTGCCTTCTGGCAGCTCTGCGCATGCACGCACTAGGAACAGGCTCCTCCTGTTCCTCTGCCTCTCTGCTGTCTGACTCTGGGGGCTCTGGAGTCCGCGCATCACTCCCAGATGGCCCTGGCCCCATCTCTGCCTCCGACGCAGAGCCCTCATCCAGGCCTCCCCAGACTCCAGGACTGGCCCATGGTCCTCCCCAGCCTCCACACTGTTCAACTCTGCTGCCAACTCTGCAGGCTGCTGGTGGACCACAACATGACCACAGTTGAGCCCAAAATTTCCATTGCTGAGCAAGGAAGTTGTTAAATGAGCGTTGCTCTACCTTACTACTTTCTTGCTACAGCCTTCTCACAAGTAGGCACTAAGGCAGAAGCTTGTCCACCCCAAAGATAAAACACCCAGACACAAACTGAACAACGTGGTACATGCAGTAAGCCAGGTGTAGATCTATACACTGGGGAAACAAAACAGCCACTTCATAAGTGCATGGCACAACAGAGGAGAACAAACTAGGACTAGATTCAGCAGTTCATCTGTGTGTTTTTTTTTTACAAAAAGGCCACTCTTTTGAAGACAGCAAAGTCCACATTTTGGACAGAGAGCACTGCTGGTTTGAAAGAGGAGTCAAAGAGGCCGTCTAGGTCAAAATTCAACAGAGAGGAGAAGGATATGACATCATCTATCTTCAGTCTACCACACAGTCCTTTCAGCAGTTCCAGGAAGGCTCCACACTCATTTGCACCACTCAGGTGACACAGGTAAACCTCCCGGTGGCCTCAATGACCTTCTAAAAGGATGCAAATGATCAGCAATCAACGAGGAATATAAATCCTTCCATCCTCCACCATCCAGTCAGAGCTAAAGAAGCTTCTTGGATGAGGAGCGAAACATCTTCAAAGAAAAACCAGAAAGTCCAGTTACCTCTTGAAAAAAAAGGACCTTTGGGACAATCCTGAACTGGACGGCTGAGAATCTCCAGAGAGAGCCTTCTCATGAGCAAACCCAATGGGGAAGCCACTTATAACTGTGTGACTACCGTGTTTCCCCGAAAATAAGATCCTGTTTTATATTTTTTTGAACCCCGAAATAAGCGCTTGGCCTTATTTTCGGGGAGGTCTTTGGGGGCGCGTGGCGCAAGACGGGGATCCTCTTGCTGTGTTACCTGATTTCCAGCTCTGTCTCCCTAACCCTAACCAGAGGAAATGGCGGGGACCAGCTGCACATGTGGTTTAATATTTTCGGGGAGAGCTTATTTTCGGGGCGGAGGGGGGCTTATTTTAGCACATGCACTCAAAAGGCTGATTGGGCTTATTATCCGGGGAGGTCTTATTTTCAGGAAGACAGGGTAACTTGACAACTGCCGTGAGTAACTTAACCACTGTGCCAAGAAAGGTCGTAAAACAGAGCAAAACTCACAATTTTGGCCTCAATTGTGGTCGTAAAGTCGAGGACTACCCATTTTTCTGAGAACCAGGCTAGCGGCTGCCTCTAAAACAATCATTATTTATTTATTTATTTATTTATTTATTTATTTATTTATTTGTTTGTTTGTTTGTTTGTTTGTTTGTTTGTTTATTTATTTATTCATTCATTCATTCATTCATTCATTCATTCATTCATTCATTCATTCATTCAATTTATATGCCGCCCCTCTCCGAAGATCCAGGGCGGCTCACAATACACTCAAAAAATCACTATAAAAACACTTAAACATTAAAAACATTAAAGACATTAAAACTCATTCACACCATTCATGGCCGGATCTTGCCAGATCGCAAAGCGAGATCAACGGCCCCAGGCCTACCGGAAAAGCCAGGTCTTCACCGCTTTCCGGAAGGCCAATAGGGTGGGGATGGTCCGGACCTCAGGAGGTAACTGGTTCCAGAGAGCTGGGGCAGCCACAGAGAAGGCCCTCCCCCGTGGGCCCGCCAACCGGCATTGTTTAGCTGACGGGACCCGGAGGAGACCAACTCTGTGGGATCCTACCGGTCGCTGGGAGCTATGCGGTAGAAGGCGGTCTCGAAGATAAACATACCACTGACAGTTTTCTTTTTCCGTGAACTGTCCGCCAGCGGTGCCAGGTCCACGTAGGCTGATCCGATCAAGCGGTCAGTATCCAGCGGCCTTTCCACGTCGCCATCTTTGCCGTAAGCTCGCCACACCTGGACTTCCAGTTTCTCTTCCCTGAAGTACCAGAATAATGCTAGACTCGACCGGAGCTCCGTTCGGTTGGGTTTCTTAAACATCACAATCCCGTGTTTTTCGCCTTCTGTTAACTTTGGCCTCCTAAGTGAAGACCAAGTGGCTTCTTGATCGTAGAGTTTGTAGCGAAGGTAGCAATAGACGCTTTTATTTAAGTGTGCTTCTCCTGCGAGTAACATGCTCTGTAGCGGTAACCACAACCGAGGAGTAGAAATAGTCACGTGGACCGGTGTCGAAGGGGCCTGGCCTTCACTCTCGCTATCCTCCCACGGATCCTCAGGGTAGGTTTCCTTCCAGTTCCACCCTAAACCGTTGGCAGTCTCCAGAACACGCTCTCGGTCTCCGGGGTGAACAAAAGCAACCGAAATCTCCAAACCTCCGACGATGCTCTGCGTGACGTTAGAAGGCTGAGATGCCAAGAGATCCTCTGGGAGGATGACGGGGTACCAACCTCTCAGACCTGCGAGGAAACGCAAAGAGAAGAAGTTCTTGTCATTAAAAAGAAAAATTCTATCGTTCATTTTACAAAGGCCCTTGTTTGATCTCTCCTTCCAGCCTGGCTGGCAATTTCCTAACTGTCTCTCAGATATCCAGGCCCTGCACAAGGATTTAGAGCAGGGGTCTCCAACCTTGGCAACTTTAAGACTTGTGGACTTCAACTCCCAGAATTTGCTGGCTGAAGAATTCTGGGAGTTGAAGTCCACAAGTCTTAAAGTTGACAAGGTTGGAGACCCCTGATTTAGAGGCCGACTGGCATTCCGGGCACTGCTCAAGCAGCAGTGCTGGCATCTAAGCATGCTGACATGCAGCCATTTCTGAGGGCACCGCTGAATTTTGATGCAGGGGTAGCTTCTGGGTAGTCTTCAAGGGTAGCCCCCCCATGAAAAGTGTAGTCATGAGGTGACCAGGGCAAATGTTCAAAGGGCTACCCAGTTCAGGAAAGGGAGACAGTTTGGACTATTGGTTGAGGTGCCAAGCTAGAGAGTAGGAGACTATGAGTTCTAGTGCCGCCTTAGGCATGAAAGCCGGCTGGGGGACTTCAGGCCAATCACCAGGAGATTGTGAGTTCTAGATTTGCCTTAGGCATGAAAGCCGGCTAAATGACTTGAAGCCAATCACCAGAAGACAGGGAGTTCTAGTCCTGCCTTAGGCATGAAAGCCATCTGGATGACTTTGGGCCAATTACCAGGAGACAGGGAGTTCTAGTCCCGCCTTAGGCATGAAAGCCGTCTGAGGAACTTTAGGCCAATCACCAGGAGACAGTGAAGTCTAGACCTGCCTTAAGCATGAAAGCTGTCTAGATGACTTGGAGCCAATCATCAGGAGACGATGAGTTCTAGTCCCGCCTTATCCATGAAAGCTGACTGGGTGACTTTGGGTCAGTCCCTCCCTCTCACCCCAACTCACAGGGTTGTTGTTGTGGGGGGAAACAGGAGGAAGAAGGAGTATTTGATAAGTTCACTGCCCCCAGGTATTTCTAAAAATAATAAAGGCTGGATGCAAAATCAATAAATAATAATAATAATGAAGGGCGCACCCAGTGAACCTATGCAAAAGACCACCCTCCTGGCCACAGATGCCATCTGCTCCAAGTTGTGCACCCGTCTTGTGACGAGTGTAGAGGTCATAGTGTGTAACCAGGTGTCTTTACCTGATCTTCGAATCAGCAGGTCTCTGGTAGGAACTCTCACGGTTCCCAGCAAGCAATCTTTTAGCGCTTCCCTTGGAGCTGCAAGAGTAAATAACAGTTATGACGTAAACTTTCCATCGTCATAATGGGAATTCATCCCCCTGGGAACTATCGATATGAGAGCAGGGGTCTCCAAACTTGGCTACTTTAAAGACTTGGGGACTTCAACTCCCAGAGTTCCATTTTGAGCGCTTGGCAACCGATCTGAATTTATGCCCGTCTCTTGCAAGTCGCATCACCACAACTTATGATGGTTTTGCTGAAAACCGTCATTTATTTCTGGTTCTTTGGCAAAAATGCTCCACAGCAACCAATAAGCTCGCTTAACGACCGCACTGTTTGCTTAACGACTGCTGCAAAAGAAGGTCGCCAAAAATCGACTTGGTTACATGATGACTCGTTTTACGACTGTCACAATTTATGGCCATAATTGGCAGGTTCTGTTATGGTTGTAACTTGAGGACTATCTGTACTAGTAAGCATACAATTAAGCTGTTCAACTGCAGGTGGTCCTTGACTTACAATCATTCGTATAATTATAGTTATAGTTATAGTTATAGTTATAGCCTGTTTCACCTAAAATAAGACATCCCCCTGATAATAAGCCCAATCAGACTTTTGAGCACATGGCAATAAGGCCAAGCCCTTATTTCAGGATTCAAAAAAATATAAGACAGGGTCTTATTTTCGGGAAACACGGTAGATAGATAGATGCAAGGGAGGGAAGAAGAAGAGAAGAGGGAAGGAAGGAAGAAGGGAGGAGGAAAGAAATGATAGATGATAGATGATAGATAGATGATAGAAAGATAGATAGATACCCTGTTTCCCCCAAAATAAGACACCCCCTGATAATAAGCCCAATCGGACTTTTGAGCACATGGCAATAAAGCCAAGCGCTTATTTCAGGGTTCAAACAAATATAAGACAGGGTCTTATTTTCGGGGAAACACAATAGTTATAGTTATAGTATACTGTGTTTCTCAGAAAATAAGACCGAGTCTTATTTTCTTTTAGATTTGAAAATAAGCACTTGGGCTTATTTTCGAGGCGGTTTTACTTCCCTCAGTCTGTGCAGTCTGTTCCCACTCCCCATTTTTCTCCCGCGAGCCAAAAAGCATCCCTCGAGCCTCCCAAAAAGAGGGAAAAAGCAAAGCAGGAAAAGCGGCCGAACATGCAGAAGCGCTGTGCCCAGAAAGAGAAGGGCAAAAGCGGTATTTGTGCTGCCCCAAGGAGCCAGCGGGCTGCAGCTGCAGCCGGACAGTTGCCCCCCCCTCTGCCCCGCCACTCATGCTGGCCATGTCCATCCCCCTGGGCTTATTTTCGGGGTAGGGGTAATATTACGCTACCCCTAAAAAATTAGGGTTGGGCTTATTATTGGGGTGGGTCGTGTGTTCGGAAAAACACGGTAGTCTAGTCGTCTACTCTACTAGGTAGTATAGAATAGAGAAGAGAACAGAACGGTATAGGAAAAGAATAGAATGGAGTGGAATAGAGTAGAATAAAATACAGAATAGAATAGAATAGAATAGAATAGAATAGAATAGAATAGAATAGAAATAGAATAGAATAGAATAGAATAGAATAGAACAGAACAGAACAGAACAGAAATATGGGATAGAATAGAATAGAATAGAATAGAACAGAAATATGGGATAGAATAGAAAATAGAATAGAATAGAATAGAATAGAATAGAATAGAATAGAATAGAATAGAATAGAATAGAATAGAAAGAACAGAACATCTCAATCAGGTGAAGGGAAGCTGTTGTGCAAAAGCACCACAAAACGTTCACAACTGAAGACGCGTGGATGAAGCCATGCCCCCCTCCCGCCAGCCTTTGGGCTCAGTTGTGCAGTTCGACGACCGGAACCCCAATTCGTTTGTCGCACCTGAGTTGAGGGGCTGGTGATAGAGGTGGAAGACCACCTCCGACCGCTGCAAGAGTTCCCCCAGGCAGCAGGCTTCTCCGCTGCTCCTCTGGACCACGAGATGGCAGGGCAGCTCCACGTGATGGTCGAAGGCGGGGCAGAAGGAGCGAGCCACGGTTCGTGTCCTGCGCGGCTCGGCCCCAAGAAGGAAGGGGAGGAGTATCGAGACGTAGGTGTTGAGACCAATTTCCGCACTATATCGGAACGGAGGGTGCTTTTCGGCCAGCGCCCTAAGCGACGAGAAGGAATGATTTATTTATTTATTTTTGAAAAAGTGTTTTATTCTTTTCTCTCTCTCTTTTTTTTTTAAAGTAATCTTTATTTTATTTATTTTATTTATTTATTTATTAAATTTATATACCGCCCTATTCCTAAGGGACTCAGGGCGGTGAACAGCGAACGATAAAAATACATGTAATACAAACGTTAATAATAAAAAACCAATTAAAATATACTAAACATTCTGGTCCTAGATAATTCAAGACATCCTAGTTTAAAATAAAATCAAAAAAATAAAATTAACCCACAATAATGGTTGAAAAGCAATATAGGAAGCGAAACATAGAAACACCTAAACACAGGACTAAAACCCTAACCCTAACCCTAAAAATTTGTTTTTTTCTTTTAAACATATCTTAAATGATCAGTTTCTTATCTAACATACATATTTTCTTTTAACTTTCCTACTAATACAGTCTTCATCCTAAACAATTTAAGTATATTGGGGGTTGCTCTTCTACCATTTCATCTCCCTTGTTTTACAACAATCCTTCTTCTCCCTCTCCTCTCTTTCATCATTTATTTTTATGTGATTTATTCACACAGGTTGTCCTTGACTTACAACCACTTGCTTAGTGACCGTTCGAAGTTACAATGGTCGTGAAAAAGGTGACTTACGGATGTTTTTCAGACTTACGACGTTGCTGCATCTACATGGTCTCTTCAAAGTCACAATGGCACTGAAAAATGTGACTTGTGAGTATTTTCACATCTACAAGTGCAGGTGTGAATTCAGACCCTTGGCAACTGACTCATAGTTATGACGGTCACAGTGTCACAGGATCATGTGATCCCTTTTGCAACCTTCTGACAAGCAAATTCAATGGGGGAAGCCAGATTCACTTAATGACCGTTTGACTCGGTTAGCCACTGCAGTGACTGACTTAACCATGCCAAGGAAGGTTGCTAAATCGGACAAAACTCACTCAACAACGTTCTTGCTTAGCGATGGAGATTTTCGGCTCGATTGTGGTTGTAAGTTGTTAAGTGAATCACCGCAGTTGTTAAGTTAGTAACACCGCTGTTAAGCGAATCTGGCTTCCCCATCGACTTTGCTCGTCGGAAGGTTGCAAAAGGGGACTCTGGAACACTGCGACCGTCATAAATACGAGTCAGACCGCGGGAGTGCTGTAAGTGGTCATAAGTGTGAAAAACGGTCCTCAGTCACTTTTTTCAGTGCCGTTGTAACTTCAGACCATCACTAAATGAACTGTTGTAAGTCAAGGACCGCCTGTATCGGGCTTTCGCTGCCTTCTCACCTGGCTGCTGCTTGCAAGCCAGCCGCTGCATGGATTTGGAGGGAGATGGGAACAGTCTGGGCCGCTAGCCCGTTTTCGGTTATTTTCAAGCTGCGTCGGTACTTTACGCTCACTTGGAACAAACCTGGGAAAAAGGAGAGGGAGAGAAGAAGAAGGCGGGTTCAGCTTTCAGTGGCTAAATACAGCAGGTCCTCGGCTTACAACCACCCAAAATTTCTGCTGGTACGTGAAAACGTTTGTTAAGTGAGTTCTGCTCCATTTTGGGACCTTTCTCTCCACCGTGGGCTGTAAATGAATCACTGCAGTCGTTAAGTTAGAAATGGTGTAGGGTCTCCTGCTTGGGCAGGGGGTTGGACTAGATGACCTACGAGGTCCCTTCCAACTCTGTTAATACCTGTATGGAAACTGGTTGAGTCTTATCCAGATCTAATCCTGATTAGCTTTCGACTGGCTGGATGATGCCACTGGAGTGCCCGTCCAGGCAGATTTTTGAGCCAGAATTGATCGATTTATTTAAGAAACACAAATATTAAGATAATATTGTAATACACAGCGCAAATGCCCACGCAACACGGGCGGTCCTTGATTTACAGCCACAATTGAGCCTCAAATTTCTGTTGGTAAGTGAGACAGTCATTGAATTGAGTGGTTGACTGCAGTGGTTAAATTTGTCACATGGTTATTAAGTGAATCTGGCTTTCCCATTGACTCTGCTTGTCGGAAGGGCACAAAAGGAAATGGAATGGAATGGAATAGAAGAGAACAACAGAGTTGGAAGGGACCTTGGAGGTCTTCTAGTCCAACCCCCTGCTTAGGCAGGAAACCCTATAGCAGTGATGGCTAACCTTGTTGCCATCGCGTGCCAGGAGCAGGGGGGGGTGTCACACATGTGCTTGCCCACACCCATAATTCTATGCGCCCTGCTCCCGCGAGTGAAACCCCCCCCCCATGCTCCTGGCACGCGATGGCACAGCCACCGGAAGTTGGCAAACGGGCCGTTTCTGGCCTCCATGAGGTTGGGGGAGAGGCCATTTTCACCTTCCCCAGACTCCTAGAAAGGCTCTGGAGGCTGGGGACAGCAAAAAAACGGGCCTTCTCCCCACAAGGTCCTCTGGAGGCAAAAAACAGCCTGTTTCCCTACTTCTGATGGGCCCAGAAAGCCTGAAAATCAGATGGCTGAGCTCGCGTGCCCACCGATATGGCTACGTGTGTCACCTGTGGCACGCGTGCCATAGGTTCGCCATCATGGCCCTATAGCGTTTCAGACAAATGGCTGCCCAGTCTCGTCTTACAAACTTCCAGTGTTGGAGCTCCCACAATTTTTGGAGGCAACTGGTTCCGATGGTTAATTGTTCTAACTGAGAGCCTTGGTAGTACAGGGGTTTAAGGCACCCTGTTATTAAGCTGGTTATTAAGACCAGCTGCCTGCAATTACTGCAGGGTTCGAATCTCGCCAGGCTCAAGGTTGACTCAGCCTTCCATCCTTTCTAAGGTAGGTGAAATGAGGACCCAGTTTGTGGGGGGCAATAAGCTGACTTTGTATAAAAATATACAAAAGTATGAAGGCTATTGCTTAACACACTGTAAGCCGCCCTGAGTCTCCGGAGAAGGGCGGCATCTAAATCAAATTAAAAAAAAAAAAAAAACTGTCAGGAAATTTCTCCTTAGTTCTAAGCTTCTTCTCGGGGCAGATGGTTTCTTGCCCCGATCAACCCTCATCTTAGCTCTGGGGCAGCAGGTGTCTCCCCCTACCTGAAGACCGAGGATGGAGCTCGCCTGAGCTGCCGATTCTTGGCATGACAGGCAGGTGGAAAGTCTGGATCCCCACTTCCTGACGGTGCTGCATGGTGACCATGGCACAAAGGCGCGAGAGGGGCAAGCTCGCCCTGGCAACCATCTGATCTCGGACGTTAGGATAGTAGTACCTGTGGAAGAGATGACACCAAACGGTTACAAAACTACAATTCAGCTGGAGAAAACAAGAGAGAGCCAACGTGAAAGGAAACTAAGTGGCTTGGGTCAAGGGCAAAACACAGTAAGAAATGAACTGAGAGGATATTTGTGGCTCAGGGTTGAAATGTGGGGTCCTTGGCGATCTCTGAGCTTGGCGGTTTTCTTGCAGACGTTTCATGACCCAACTAGGTAACGGCATCAGTGCTAAAAGGGAGTGCTGTTTGTGGAATGGAGGAGGAAGAGGAAGAGAGGGGAGGGGAGGCAGGATTATGGGGTTCCTCGATGGTTTCTGATCTTAAGAGATTTTCTGGCAAACATTTCATGAATTCCAACAAGGGAACATCATCAGCGCTAGAAGAGAGTGGGATTTGAGGAGAGAAGGAAGAGGAAGAGGAGGACGACAGCAGCTGTGGGGCCCTTGGTGCTCTCTGAGCTGGGTTGTTTTCTTGCAGAGGTTTCATGACTCAATTAGGAAGCATCATCCGTATTAGAAGGGAGGGGGGTTTGTGGAGTGGAGGAGGAAGAGGAAGAAGAGGAGAAGGGTTGTAGAGTCTCTGAGCTGAATTGGTTTCTTTGAGATGTTTCATGAGCCAACTAGGGAACATCATCAGCGCCAAATGGTAGTAGGGTGTGTGGAGGATGAGGATGAGGACTATGGGGTCCTTGGTGCTCTCTGAGCTGAACTGTTATCTTGCAGACGTTTCATGACCCAACTAGGTAACATCATCAATGCTAGAAGGGTGCTAGCAAGCCCCACTCTCACTGGCACTGATGCTATTCCCTAGTTGGCGGATGAAACATCTGCCAGAAAACAACCCAGTTCAGAGAGCACCAGGGCCCCTCAAAGTCATCCCCTTCCTCTCTCCACCCACCCCCTTTGAAGACTGGTTAAAAGATCTGGGTGGGTTTGGCCTACAGAAAAGACAACTGAAGGGGAAGATAGGACAGGAATCTGGAGCCTTGGTGGTGCAGTGGACTAAACTGCTGTTAAAGTAGCACTTAGCTGCCAGCTGCCTGCAATTACTGCGAGTTCAAATCTCACCAGGCTCAAGGTTGACTCAGCCTTCCATCCTTCCGAGGTAGGTAAAATGAGGACCCAGATTGTGGGGGCAATAAGCTGACTTTGTATAAAAAAGTACACCGCTTAGTGGGGGGCCAAAAGCCCTACTAAGCAGGTATATACAAAAAAAGTATGAAGGCTGTTGCTTAAAAGCATTGTAAGCCGCCCTGAGTCTCCGGAGAAGGGTGGCATATAAATCAAACTAATAAAATAAATAAATAAATAAATTTGGGTATCCCATCATCCTCGGCACCATGTGATGCAAAGAGAGAGAGAGAGAGAGAGAGAGAGAGAGAGAGAGAGAGAGAGAGAGAGAGAGAGAGAGAGAGAGAGAAAACCAGGCTGAATGCTGGGAGGGGGTCGCCCGTCAGCGGTGAGAGACATACCTGCACCAGATTTCGAAATGAATCCCTCCTCCTTCTCCCGCTAAGCTCCGGGCAGAGAAAGCGTTGAGTAGCAGCCGCTGAACTGGGACGTCAGCTGGGACCAGCAGAGAGTGATGGTGCTCACCGCGGAAGGTGGGATCGGGAACGCACAGAGTGGTGGACGTGCGGAAGGCCTTCAACTCAAGGTCTGAGGAAGAAAATAAAACTCCGGTGGTTTCAATCAAGAGGCAGACGGAGAGCAGGGGAAGGGAAGAAGGGCGTTATAATTCACCCTGGAGTAAAGCCACACGTTTCTTCAAGATCACTCGTGCTTCGTAAACAATAGCTTGTATTTTGAATGAGGTGTGCTAGAGGGATTTTTTTCCCCCAAAAATAAGACTGGGCAAGCATTGGACTGGGTTTGGTATGAGACTCTTGCCTTAGGAGGAGGGTGTGGCCAGCGCCCGGCGGTACAATGCTTTTCTTGGATGCTCCCGAGAAAACATTGATATCAAAGTCGTTTGGGGTCTTTATTGACCCAAAACTGTGAGCAAGAAGGGCACAGACTGGCTAACGCAGGGAAATCGCAATTCCCCGGTTAGTCAGAAGCAGCCCTTCAAATAGACGATCTAGAATAGACAGAGCCTGAGTGGCGTAGGAGGCTAATGCCTCCTACTAAGGCAGCATTTAACATCCAGCTGCCTGCAATTACTGTGAGTTCGAATCTCGCCAAGGCTCAAGGTTGACTCAGCCTTCCATCCTTTCTAAGGTGGGTAAAATGAGGACCCAGTTTGTGGGGGCAATAAGCTGACTTTGTATTAAAATATACGAAAGTACGAAGGCTATTGCTTAACGCACTGTAAGCCGCCCTGAGTCTCCGGAGAAGGGCGGCATATAAAAATAAAATAAAAAAAATAGAAATTGGCCATTGAATGAGCTGCAACAAAGCCGGGGCGGTCACAGCGGGACTGGAGAGGCAACGGATGTGGATTCATCTGGGTGAAAAAGCCGACTTCTCTTTTTGTTTTCTGATTTGAAGTTTTCTCTGCATAAACCCCGGGAAACAACTTGAAGGAAAGTGAAGGGGGCAAAGAGAAGAGGGGAGAGCAAGGCGTGTGGCAGCTCTCTACCCTCAGCTGTTTAGCGGCGAAGAAAGTGGATTGACCCAAGCGGAAGAAATGAATTGAATGAAGGAACAACATTACTTTGGGGAGCAAGAAAATAAGAACAGGAAGCCTGATTGAAGACTTGTAAATTTTGGATTTATGCGAAATTAATGAGACTGAGTGGAAATCATTGAAAGTAGTAGTTATAAAACTTTTCCTATTTTTTTCCCCTTTTTTTCTACTTTTCTTCTGAGTGAAAGTGTTTTGCAGCGCCATCTACAGACACGAATAAAAAGACTTTATTTTAAATAAACTGATGGAGAGGACCGGCCTTGAGATTATAGGCTCGGACTGCTAAGAAACAGCTGCGTCTGGCAAGAACTGGCTATTGAGAGAGAAGTTGAAATAGGGTGCCTTGTGAAAATTTTGAAACAGAAACTAAAACGAGGCTCTTGCCGTGAGTAAGGGGTTGGACTAGAAGACCTCTAAGGTCCCCTCGAGCCCTAGGATTCAACGTTCTGTGTGTTTTAAGACTTGCGGGATAAACTGCACAAAACGTTCATCACAAATTTCTCTAATGGACCTTCTCCTAGGCCCGTGATGGCGAACCTGTGGCACATGTGCGCCAGAGGTGGCACGCAGAACCCTCTCTGTGGGCATGTCAGCTGTCGCCCCAGCCGAGCTCCACCGCGCATCTGCGCCTGCCTCCCACCAGCCAGCTGGTCTTTGGGTCTCTGCCGTGCATATGCAGGGCTCCTGCGGGGGACACACATTTATTCATTCATTCATTCATTCATTCATTCATTCATTCATTCATTCATTCATTTATTGGTTCAATTTATACGCCGCCCTTCTCCGGAGACTCAGGGAGGCTTACAATGCTTTTAAGCAATAGCCTTCATACTTTTGTATATACCTGCTTAGTAGGGCTTTCGGCCCCCCCAAGCGGTGTTCTTTTTTATACAAAGTCAGCTTATTGCCCCCACAATCCGGGTCCTCATTTTACCTACCTCGAAAGGATGGAAGGCTGAGTCAACCTTGAGCCTGGTGAGATTTGAACTTGCAGTAATTGCAGGCAGCTGGTGTTACTTAACAGCACTTTAGTATGCTGCGCCACCAAGGCTCATGGGGGTGGTGGTGGTGGAGGTGCAGGTTGGTGCAGGAGGCTTTCCTTGCCCAAAAGGGGCGGCGGCGGGGGCCTCACATTGCATTTTGGGGGTTCTGGCACGTGTGCGTGCTTTGGGCACTCGGCACCAAAAAGGTTAACCATCATTGTCCTAGGCCAGTGATGGCTAACTTTTTTGCCGTCATGTGCCAAAAGCGGGAGTCATGCGTGCGCCTGCCCATACCCATAATTCAATGTGCCCCACTCCCCGCACATGCGTGCACGACCCCCACTTTTGGCACGCAATGGCCCGGTGGGCCTGTTTTTCGCCCTCCCCACGCTCCAGAGGCTTTCTTAGAGCCTGGGGAGGGCGAAAACTGCCTCCCCAACCCCTCCAGAGGCCCTCTGGAGGCCGGAAACGGCCCATTTCCCGACTCCTGGTGGGACCAGAAGAGCCCTTTTTTTGCCCTCCCCAGGCTCCAGAGGCTTTCTAGGAGCCTGGCGGAGGGCGAAAATGGCCTCCCTCCCCCCGGAGGCCGGAAACAGCCTGTTTCCCAACTTCCGGTAGGCCCGGAAAATCAGCTGGCCGGTGCGCGCATGTGCGTTGGAGCTGAGCTAGGGCAACCCTTGCGTGCCCACAGATATGGCTACGTGTGCCACCTGTGGCACGCATGCCAAAAGTTCACCATCACGGTCCTAGGCAAAGGCTCAAGGCATCAGACTCACTACCAGAAAGGACATAGGCAAATACAGGATACAGAATGGCGTAGTGATTTATTATGTCCGTATTCTGTCATTTCTCCAAGGGTTCCCAGATGATGTTCCTGGATTCTCTCCACTCCATCTCCTTTTATCCTCATCACAATCCTAGATCGGCCCGAAGTCCCTACCTCAATGGGGTCCTCGGTGCTCTCTGAGCTGGGTCGTTTTCTTATAGACGTTTTATGACCCAACTACGTAATATCATCAGAGCTAGAAGGGAGTGGGGATTTGTGGAGTGGGGGAAAATGAGGAGGAAGAGGAGGGGGAGGAGGAGGAAGAGGAGGAGGACTGTGGGGTCCTTGGTGGTCTCTGAGCTTGGCGGTTTTCTTGCAGATGTTTCATTACCCAACTAGGTAACGTCATCAGTGCTGAAAGTGTGGAGTGGGGATTGTGGAATGGAGAAAAAAGGGAAAGAGGATGATGATGATGTTGTGGAGGAGGAGGAGGGGGAGGAGAAGGAGAGGGGGAGGACTGTGGGGTCCTTGGTGCTTTCTGAGCTTGGTGGTTTTCTTGCAGACATTTCATGACCCAACTAGGTAACATCATCAGTGCTAGAAAGGAGTGGGGTTTGCTCTCTGTTTATATCCAAGTGGCTTCCTCTGTCAGTGGTGGTGGGGGTGTCCGGGGGTGGTGAGGGTGGTGGGGAGGGGCTGTTCCTTGATTAGGCTCTTGTGGCTGCTCCTGAGTCGAGGGACCAGTGGAAGCCTGTCTGAAAGGGGCTTTTCTTATGAACTCACCTTTCTCGCTGAACTCCGCATCCCGGAGCGTCTCGGATTCCGATTTCTGAACCGGGAAGTGGTACTGGACGTAACAGTCGGCTTCTCCCCAGACGGTGGACTGGAGGGGCATCAGGCCTTGGACCCCCTCAATGTGGATCTCAAAGATGTGTTCCACCAGGCCTTCCTTTTCCCTGCTTGACAGCTGAAGAAGGCAAGGGGGGAAAAAGGGAGTGGAAGAAAAAGGGGACAGAATGGGTGGGATATATTGCAGGCATAAATTAGACTTAAGGAAGGCACTTTGAGGCATCCCAGAAATGCTACAACCCTTAAAACCCTAACCCTCGACTTACGACTCCAAAATTTATATCGCTAAGTGAAACATTTGTTAAAAGTGAGTTTTGTCCCATTTTACGACCTTCCTTGCTGCAGTGGTTCAAAGTTAGTAACCTGGTCATTAAGTGAAACCGGCTTCCCCACTGACTTGTCAGAAGGTCGGAAAAGCGGATCACGTGACTGCAGGACGCTGCGACTGTCGTAAGTACGAGCCAGTGGCCGAGCGTCTGAATTTTGATCACGTGACCGGGGGGGGGGGGGGGGAGATGCTGCAACGGTCGTCAAGTGTGAAAAACGGTCATATTGCTTAGCACATTGTAAGCTGCCCTGAGTCTCCAGAGAAGGGCGGCATATAAATCAAATTTAAAAAAATTTTTTTTAAAAAAAAAATAAGTCACTTTTTTCAGTGCCGCGGTAACTTCAAATGGTCCCTAAATGAAGTGTTGTAAATTGAGGACTACCTGTAGTTCTCCCGTTTAGTGTCGTATCCTTAAAGACTGGGTCTCTAGGAAAAAGCTGACAGGTGGTCCTCGACTTACGACCACAATGGAGGCCAAAATTTCTGGCGTTAAGCAAGGCAATCGTTCGGTGAGTTTTGCTCCCATTTTACGGTCTTTCTCGCCAGAGTTGTTAAGGGAATCGATGGGGTTGTTCAGTGAGTCACACGGTTGTTAAGGGAATCTGATTTTCCCATTGACTTTGCTAGTCGGGAGGTCACAAAAGGGGATCGCGTGACCCCGGGACACTGAAACCGTCATAAATAGGAGCCAGTTGCCATGCATCTGAATTTTGATCGTGCTGCAATGGCCGTTAAGTGTGAAAAGCAGTCGTAAGTCCCTTTTATCAGTGGTGCTGTAACTTCAAACGGTCACTAAACTTTACATAAAATTGCTGAGAGAGCAAGTGGCTAGTATATAAACAGGCAGCAAGCCTCCCCTCCCTTCTAGCACTGATAACGTTACCTAGTTGGGTCATGAAATGTCTGCAAGAAAACTACCAAGCTCAGAGAGTACCAAGGACCCCATAGTTGTCTTCCTCCTCCTCCTCCTCTCTACAAACCCTTCCAGCACTGATGATATTACCTAATTGGGTCATGAAACGTCTGCAAGAAAACTGCCAAGCTGAGAGAGCACCAAGGACCCCACAGTCGTCCTCCTGCTCCTCTTCCACAAACCCCATCCCCTTAGTACTGATAACGTTACCTAGTTTGGTCACGAAACGTCTGCAAGAAAAAAAACCCCAAGCTCAGAGCGCACCGAAGTTTTGACACACGTGTCATAAGGCTGTGCTAATCATCCCTGGATTAGAACTAGCAAGACTCAAGTTGAAGAACTCTCAAGTCAAATCAGGCTCTTTCATACCTATTCTTTTTCTGATTTTTTTTAAAAAAAGCTATGTGTGTGTGCCACTTGAAACTTTGGGGGGAATAAATATAGACGCACAGATCCCGTGGCCCCAAAAGAGCAGAGGGCCCTGGTCTAAGAGCCTTGGTTGCGCAGCGGACTAAACTGCTGCTGTTAAAGTAGCACTTAGCTGCCAGCTGCCTGCAATTACTGCGAGTTCAAATCTCACCAGGCTCAAGGTTGACTCAGCCTTCCATCCTTCCGAGGTAGGTAAAATGAGGACCCGGATTGTGGGGGCAATAAGCTGACTTTGTATAAAAAAGAACACCGCTTGGGGGGGCTCCGAAAGCCCTACTAAGCAGGTACATACAAAAGTATGAAGGCTGTTGCTTAAAATTAATTTATTCATTAATTTAATTTGTATACCGCCCTTCTCCCAGAAGGGACTCAGGGCGGTGAACAGCCAAAATTAAAATACATACAATACAAAAGTTAAAATAATTAAAAAGAATTAAATCATTGGCTTCCCAATGTTGCTTAAAAGCATTGTAAGCCGCCCTGAGTCTTTGGAGAAGGGCGGCATATATAAATTGAACTAATAAATAAATAAATAATAATCACGTGGACGCACCTCAGAGGTGGGTGCAGGGAGGGGATCCAGAGCGTGTTGGGGGCGCAGCACAGTCGGGGATGCCCGCCCTTCTTCCTTCTTGACCCTCTGCAGCGCCAACACCTGGTCAGCTGAACCCATGGCTAAGATGGTCTTCAGGGTGCCGTTCTTTTGGCCGGAGAAGACGTCAACCACTGGCACGGGGCCGTCCACTGCCAACACCGGATACTGAGCCTGGAGCAGCAGGCTGGAAACTTTGGGGTCTCTGCAGGGGGAAAAAAAAGAGGCAGAAGCCATGAGCAGGCCTGGCTTGCCGTATTCCTCGACAGGGGGTCCTCGACTTACGACCACAACGGAGCCCAAAATTTCTATGTTCCTGAGCGAGGTTAAGTGGACTTTGCTCCGTTTTACGACCTTTCTTGCCCCCCGTTGCTAAGTGAATCGCTGCCAGTTGTTAAGCGAATTTGGCTTCCCCGTGGACTTCTGTTTTGTAAGAAGGTCGCCAAAGGGGATCCGATGACTCCGGGACACTGCAACCGTCATAAATGTGGGTCAGTTACCAAACATCTGAATTTGGATCACGTGACTGAATTTGGGGATTCTGAAATGGCTGTAAAAAACGGTCATAAGTCACTTTTTTCATCCAGGGCTAGCTACCTGTACAGGTATTCATGAATACATAAAGACTTGTATTTATGATGTATTTGTGACAGGCACTCCTTGACTTACAACAGTTCGTTGAGTGACCATTCGAAGCACTGGAAAAAGCAACTTAAAAAAAAAGATGATTATGTTGGGATTAATAATTAAAATTAGGATGATAATGTTGGGATAAACAGCAATGAAGATGACTATATTGGGAGCAACAGTGAAAATATTGTTTAAATGCTTTTAATAATTGTAGTGATTTATATTTTTAAAATACATTCGTCTAAGTAAAAAGAAAAAGAAAACATGAAATGATATTTGGTTAGGATTTAAAGATTTAAGTAACGGGTTTTTGGGATAACGGCATTGTTAAATAGACAGAATTTAGGGAAATAATTAAGAATTGTGTAAAATATTAAGTTGTGTTAATTGAAAATTAAGATTTGTTAGTGATTTGTACCAATTTATGACCGGATCAATGCTTCGTTTTGAAAAGATGTATTTTATGTTTATGTTTTAAAAAAAGAAAAAAAAAGAAAAAAAAAGAAAAAGCAACTTAGGACTGTTTTTCACACTTATGACAGTTGCAGCGCCCCCATGTTCACAATTCAGACACTTGGCAACTGATTCATATTTATGATGGTCACAGTGTCCCGGGATCCCCTTTTGCGACCTTCTGAGAAGCCAAGTCAATGGGGAAGTCAGACTCACTTAACAACCCTGTCACTAACTTAGCAAATGCAGTGGTTCACTTAACAAATCCCAAAGGTGCTTTTTTTTATTTTCAAGAGGCGACTGGACTTTTCTGGTTTTTCTTTGAAGACGTTTCGCTTCTCATCCGAGAAGCTTCTTCAGCTCTGGTTTTCTTTGAAGACGTTTCGCTTCTCAAAAGAAAAAAATAGAAAGTCCAGTTGCCTCTTGAAAAAAGCACCTTTGGGACAACCTTGGAGCCTTGGTGGCGCAGCGGACTAAAGTGCTGTTAAGTAGCACTTAGCTGCCAACTACCTGCAATCACTGCGAGTTCAAATCTCACCAGGCTCAAGGTTGACTCAGCCTTCCATCCTTCTGAGGGAGGTAAAATGAGGACCCGGATTGTGGGGGCAATAAGCTGACTTTGTATAAAAAAGAACACCGCTTAGGGGGGGGCGAAAGCCCTACTAAGCAGAGATATATAAAAGTATGAAGGCTATTGCTTAACGCATTGTAAGCTGCCCTGAGTCTCCGGAGAAGGGCGGCATATAAATCGAACCAATAAATAAATAAATAAATAAATAAATAAATAAATAAATAAATAAATAAATAATAAATGAGTGAGTGAGTGAGTGAGTGAGTGAATGAATGAATAAATAAACAAACAAATAAATAAATAAAGCATGACTTGGATGGCTGAGGCTCTCCATAGACATTCCCTTAACTAATGCGACAAGTGGTAAAAATGGGGCAAAACTCAACTGTTTTACTTAGTGACATACATTTTGGGCTCCACCGTGGCCGTAGGGCGAGGACTCCCTGCAACGATGGCAGAATAGCGAAGGCAGCTTCTTACTTGAATGAAACGTAGAACTGATGGAGGGGAAGCTTGGCCAGTCCCAGCAGCCGGTCGCCTCCGGGGCTGAGCACCTTATTCCACACCTCAATCACCATGACGTTGTTCTTCAGACGCTCCAGATGTTTCGATGTCAACGCAACCGGAGTGATCTAGAGGGTGGATTGGGCAGTTAGGGGAACAGCTGACAAAATCCCCAGGAAGGTGAGAGGCAAGGCAGACGTTTCATTCTGCCTAGGAACCTGCTCAGCTTTTCAATCAAGGAACGATAAAAGGGCTCTTTCCTTACGGGTAAAAAACAAATAAATAACAAGTATATCTTCAATTTACAAGCAGAATTGGGACCAGAATTTCCATTGCTACGTGAGGCCGTTGTAAAGGGAGTCCCACCTTTTTTTCGCCGTTAAGAGAATCACGGCAGTTGTTACATGAAGCAAATCCAGTTTCCCTCACTGACTGGAAGCCGGAAACGACGGCAAAAAAGGTCGTAAGACGCGGGGTGACTCACTTAACAACCATCAAGCTTAGCAATGGAAATTCTGCTCCATGGTGTGGTCGTAAGTCGAGGACTACCTGTATGAAAACGTAGTTGAGATGCTATTTGCATGATTGAAGGTTTGAGGAGTCCTTGGTGCTCTCTGAGCTTGGTTGTTTACTTGCAGACATTTCATAACCCAACTAATTAACATCATCAGTTTTAGAAGGGATTGTGGAGTGGAGGGACCAGGAGGAGGACTGTGGGGTCCCTGGGGGTTCTCCGAGCTTGGTTGTTTTCTTGCAGATGTTTCATTACCCAACTAGGTAACAGCATCAGTGCTAGTCTAGTCTAGTTTGGGTAATGAACTCTTCCTTCTTCCCCCTTCTCCCCTCCGCAAATGCCACTTTCTTCTAGCACTGATGTTACCTAGGGGTTGGGTACAGTGGTGAAATCTAAAATTTGTTACTACCGGTTCTGTGGGTGTAGCTTGGTGGGGGGGCGGGCGGGCGGGGGTTGGGTTAATGTGACTGGATGGGTGTGGCCAATTTTTTTTTTTTTTTACTTTTAAAACCATTTTTTCTACAACCTCTTCGGCGAAGAGGTTGTAAAAAAATGCTTTCAAAAGGCTCTGACGATCCCAGCTGAGTTGCCTGATCGGCAGAGACTTTTTTTCTTTTAAATGCCTCTGCCTCTGGCAACTCAGCTGGGATCATCAGAGGCTTTTAAAAGAAAAAAAAGGGTTTTTTTCTTTTAAAAGCCTTTGACGATCCCAGCTGAGCCACTCGATCATCAGAGGCTTCTTCTTTTTTTTTTTTTTTTACTTTTAAAAGCATTTTTTTCGGCCGAAGAGGTTGTAGAAAAAATGCTTTTAGAAGTAAAAAAAAAAAGCCTCTGATGATTGTGCGGCTCAGCTGGGCATGGGGGGTGGGAGAGGGATTTTTGCTACCGGTTCTCCGAACCACTCGCCTCCATTGCTACAGGATCGGGCGATCCGGTCTGAACCGGGAGCATTTCACCCCTGGTTGGGTAATGAAACATCTGCCAGAAAACAACCAAGCTCAGACAGCACCAAGAATCCCAGTCCTTTTCCTCCTCTTCCTTCTCCCCCCTTCTGTTCTTTCTCCACCTCCTCCAACCCCACTCCCTTCTTGCATTGACAATATTACTAGTTGGGTTATGGAATGTCTGCAAAAGACAACCAAATTCAGAGAGCACTAAGGATCCTTCATTTCAACCCTGAACTACCAATATTCTAATTTTTTTTTACTGAATGTATTTTTTCCCCAGCTTTCTCTTTATCTGGGCCTAATTGCCATTTGTAAAATAAGCTGCTAACGACTTTTCCTTTTATCCCTCGGTTCTTTATGTCCCTTCTGCTACTTTCTCAGCCTACGCCCTACACTTTCTCCACAACGTTAGGCGTTGCTTGGGACTTGCCTGAGAAAAATGGAAGGCGGGTCGTGAGGTCCCCCACGCGACGGGAGACCTCGTGGCTTCCTCGGTGCTGAAGAGCTTGCAGATTAAATACAGGTTGCAAGAGCTGTCCAGCCCGCCGTTGGGAGGGAGAGCGATCTCCCCCTCCGAGACCATCAAAAGGACATGGAGCAGCATCCCTTCCTCTTCCGAGGAGGCGCACATCTGGGTCAGGAGGTTGCGGGAGACAGGCAGAGGGACCGGCGGCTGACCCACATCCTTGGGGGACCTCTGAAAAGCCGGAGGCAAGGGATCTTCGCTTCTCACTGGGGTTTTGCAGTTGCTTTGAGGGCTGCTGGTGGAACAAGGGGCGATTCTTTCAGCATCCTGGAAAATTGCGCCGTGGCCTCTGATGGAACCGACGGGGGCTCTTGGGGACGCACTGCTCGCTTTGATGTTGGAGAAGTCTTTGTTAGTGGCTAGTTCCACGGATACCTGTCACACATGAAGTTAGAAAAATTGCCATCAATAGGTGGATGGACACCTTGGCTGCTCAGGAAGCTCAAACCGCCCAAGGAGCTGCTGATCCAGTTCTACAGAGGAATGATTTGAGTCTGTCATCTGCACCTCCGTAACTGTCTGGTTTGGCTCTGCAACCCAACAAGACAGACAGAGACTTCAGAGGATAATGGGCTGGTGCCTTGGTGGTGCAGCGGACTAAAGTGCTGTTAAGTAGCACTTAGCTGCCAGCTGCCTGCAATTACTGCAAGTTCGAATCTCACCAGGCTCAAGGTTGACTCAGCCTTCCATCCTTCTGAGGTAGGTAAAATGAGGACCCGGATTGTGGGGGCAATAAGATGACTTTGTATAAAAAAAAGAACACCGCTTAGGGGGGGCCGAAAGCCCTACTAAGCAGGTATATACAAAAGTATGAAGGCTATTGCTTAACGCATTGTAAGCCGCCCTGAGTCTCCGGAGAAGGGCGGCATATAAATCGAACCAATAAATAAATCAATCAATCAATAATTAGAACTGCAGAAAGAACAGCGGCTACCAACCTGCCTTCCGTTGAGGACCTGCATACTGCACGAGTCAAAAAGAGGGCTGGAAAAATATCTACAGACCCCTCACATCCTGGACATCAACTGTTTCAACTCCTACCCTCAAAACGACGCTATAGAGCACTGCACACCAGAACAACTAGACACAAGGACAGTTTTTTCCCCAACGCCATCACTCTGCTAAACAAATAATTCCCTCAACACTGTCAAACTATTGACTAAGTCTGCACTGCAGTTGCTAAGTTAGTCATACGGTTGTTAAGTGAATCTGGCTTCTTCCTTGACTGTTTGTCAATGTTGCAAAAGGGAATCAAGTGAGCCCGGGATCCTGTGACCGTCGGATAAGTACATGCCAGTTGCCAAGCTTCCGAATTTTGATTACGCGACCACATGGAGATGCTGCAACGGTCTTAAGTGTGAAAAACGGATCATTAGTCACTTTCCCCCCCCCCAGTGCCGTTGCTAACTTGGAATGATCGCTAAACGAATTGTTGTAAGTCGAGGGCTACTTGTACCTCTATCATTTTCTATTATAGACTATGCTCGTGATGGTGAAGCTATGGCACATGTGCCAAAGGTAGCACACAATGCCCTTTCTGTAGGCATGCAAGCCATCGCCCCAGTTCAGCTCCGGCGTGCATGTCCACGCGCCTCCCACTGGCCAGCTGGTCTTCAGGTCTCTGCCCCACATGCATGGGGGAAGGGGTGTGTGTGTGGGGGGGGGGCATGCACAGGGCGTGTGCAGAGACGCGTGTGCATTTTGCGCTTTGCATTTTGGGGATTCGGGCGCACACTTGGTCACTCGGTCCGGAAAAGGTTAGCCATCACTGGACTATGCAAAAGAGACCATCAACCAGTCCAAAAGAGAACAAAAAGACTCCGGCACTCGGATCAGCATAGATCAGTGTTTCTCAACCTTGGCTGCTGGACGATGTGTGGACTTCAACTCCCAGAATTCTCCAGCCAGCTCTGCTGGCTGGGGAATTCTGGGAGTTGAAGTCCACACATCGTCCAGCGCCCAAGGTTGAGAAACACTGGCATAGATTAACCCCATCAGGCCAACGATCACGTAATCAACACCCCAATCAAGAAACTGCCGAAGAGCCATCGGTGAACAGCCCAACCAAAGAAGACCGGCCCCGCACACACCGACAGGCAAGGCACCAGAATATAAACGGACAGCAAACAGCACTCCTTACTAGCACTGATGATGTTCCCTAGTTGGGTCATGAGACGTCTTCAAGAAAACAACCAAGCTCAGAGAAGACCGCACGTTTCCTACTCCTTTTCTTGTAGATTATTTTGTGAAACCACAAGTGACCTTCCCAGGAATCTTAGCCCTACTTGGCCGAGCCAGTTGGATAATGTGAGAGGACCCACCTGTACCTTTAGGAACAAATTGGCCTTAAATGGGTTGTGCAAATACCATCCTGAGCTGCTCTTCCGACCCATGAAAACTGCACGTGTTAACAAAAAGTGGAACGAGTGAAGAAAGGACCTTAGAAATAAAAAAAATGTCGGAAGCAAATTCTATACCTGTAAAGGCCCCAATGGGCCTGGGATGACGTCTTCTTTCACCGGCAAGTCACGGCTGACGAATAAGTCCTCGGACTGAAGGACGTCGCGCAGGGGAAAGGCTGCTGCGCCGATCAGCACTGGCTGGAGATCACAAGGAGAGAAATCGCAGGCATTCTGCACAGTCCTTGTTCTGAGGTTACACAATCTGCGTTGCACAGTATTCTCTATTCTATTATTTTCTATTTTCTATTTTCTATTCTATGCTATGCTATGCTATGCTATGCTATTCTATGCTATGCTATTCTATGCTATTCTATTCTCTATTCTATTCTATTCCATTTTCTATTCTCTATTCTACCCTATCCTAATTAATCCTATTCCTATCCTATCTTAATTAATCCTATTCCTTTCCTACCCTAATTCTTTTCTAATTCTAATTAATTCTATTCCTATCCTATCCTAATTAATCCTATCCTAATTAATCCTATTCCTATCGTATTCTATCCTAATTAATCCTATCCTAATTAATCCTATTCCTTTCCTATCCTACCCTACCCTACTCTACCCTATCCTTTTCTAATTCTAATTAATTCTATTCCTATTCCTATTCCATTCTGGTCCTGCCGTGGGATGAATCATAAAATAAATCCCCTTCCCCTTCCGTGTAACAACTCTTCAGATAGTTTTCACCCAGAAGGATAATATGGAAAATGACAGTACCTTCCTTTGGGTGCCCTTTTTCAAAAACAAGTGAAAATCGAGGTGCGACTTCCACCAATGGGTGATCATGGAGCCACTGAAATGGACAGGGAATACGTAACGTTGCTGAAACTTCACCCCTGCAGCGGGAATTGGGATAGGCACAAAAGCAAAACGAAGAAAAAGGATTTTCTAAGTCAACGTTTCAAAGGTTCAGTGGAAGAAGACTCAAGAAAGAACCTAAGATTTCTTTAGTGGTATTAAAAAAATAAAAGACTAATCAGGATAGACCCAGGACAGAGATAAATTCTCAATTTGCAAAGTAGCAGCTGGTGGTTCGGCAAAACCACTAGCTGCTACTGGTTGGAAGGGACTTTGGAGGTCTTCTAGTCCAACCCCCTGCTCAAGCAGGAGAAACTATACAATTCCAGACAAATGGCTGTTCAGTCTCTTCTTATAAAGTTCATGTGATGGAGTACCCACAACTTCTGGTGGCAAGCAGTTCCACTGGTTAATTGTTCTCACTGTCAGGAAATTTCTCCTTAGTTCTAGGTTGCTTCTATTAGGTTATGTTTGGGATAGCAATAGCAATAGCACTTAAGACTTATATACCGCTTCACAGTGCTTTCCAGCCCTCTGTAAGCGGTTTACAAAATCAGCCTCTTGCCCCCAACAATCTGGGTCCTCATTTTACCGACCTTGGAAGGATGGAAGGCTGAGTCAACCTGGAGCCTGGTGAGATTTGAACTGCCAAATTGCAGGCAGCCGGCAGAAGTAGCCTGCAGTACTGCACTCTAACCACTGTGCCACCGAGGCTCATAGGATCTTGTTTTTCCTCAAAAATTCAGTCCAGTTGTGTTTTCAAAATAAAAAACCGCTTTTGATACAACTGTTGACCTGGAGAATCTCCACAGACACGTGGCAGAAAAGGTTGTAAAATTGAACAGTGCTCACTTATCACATCAAGTAGCACTGATAATGTTACCTAGTTTTGGAAATAAAACATTTGCGTTCCTCGTTTCAACCCTGAGCTACAAATATTCCCTTTCAGAGAGTTTACTTAACACCACTTTTCTTAGCAATTTCCCCCAATTGAGACCATAAATTGAGAACCATCTATATACGATATTTAAATTCCTGCAATGAAAACATTTCTTTATAGAGTTGCTTAGTTTCAGCTTAGTTTATAAAAGGGATGCTTCTGCAGTCACGGTCATTGTGACAAAAACTCGGCTCGATCCAACATACGATTATGGGAAAAAAAATGGTCTCCTGCCCCCTTGGTCTTACCGTCTGCTGAGAATCTACTCGAAGCTACGCGAACAATTTCCGTAGTCACGGCTGTCTGGCCGACCCCGTTCTTTGAAGTTCCCACTGGAAAGTGATACTCGACAAAGAAGGTCCTGGGAAGAGAAGAAATGGTGGAAATAAATTGAGGGAATTCAACAAAATTCGGTGTTTTTAATAAGACCGACCAAAACTTTGCAGCCTTAATTCATTCCCCGCATAACAACAACCCTGTGAGGTGGACTGGGCTGAGAGAGAGGGACTGTCCCTAAATCACCCAGTCGGCTTTCTTCTCTTAAGACGGGACTAGAACTCACCGTCTCCTGGCGATTGGCCCAAAGTCACCCAGACAACTTTCATGTCTAAGGCGAGAATAGAACTCACTGCCTCCTTCATGATTGTCCTCAAAGTCACCCAGCTGCCTTTTGTGCCTAAGGTGGGACTAGAACTCACCATCTCCCAGTTTCTAGGCCAGCATCTTAGAACTAGAACTCACTGTCTCCTGGTGATTGTCCCAAAGTCACCCAGCTGCCTTTTGTGCCTAAGGTGGGACTAGAACTCACCATCTCCCAGTTTCTAGGCCAGCATCTTAGAACTAGAACTCACCGTCTCCTGGTGATTGTCCCAAAGTCACCCAGCTGCCTTTTGTGCCTAAGGTGGGACTAGAACTCACCATCTCCCAGTTTCTAGGCCAGGACCTTAGAACTAGAACTCACTGTCTCCTGGTGATTGTCCCAAAGTCACCCAGCTGCCTTTTGTGCCTAAGGTGGGACTAGAACTCACCATCTCCCAGTTTCTAGGCCAGCACCTTAGAACTAGAACTCACCGTCTCCTGGTGATTGTCCCAAAGTCACCCAGCTGCCTTTTGTGCCTAAGGTGGGACTAGAACTCACCATCTCCCAGTTTCTAGGCCAGCATCTTAGAACTAGAACTCACCGTCTCCTGGTGATTGTCCCAAAGTCACCCAGCTGCCTTTCGTGCCTAAGGTGGGACTAGAACTCACCATCTCCCAGTTTCTAGGCCAGCATCTTAGAACTAGAACTCACCGTCTCCTGGTGATTGTCCCAAAGTCACCCAGCTGCCTTTCGTGCCTAAGGTGGGACTAGAACTCACCATCTCCCGTTTCTAAGCCAGCACCTTAGAATTAGAACTCACCGTCTCCTGGTGATCGTCCCAAAGTCACCCAGCTGGCTTTCATGCCTAAGGCAAGACTAGAACTCACCGTCTCCTGGTTTCCATCGTGGTGCCTTCACCACTAAACCAAACTTCCAAAACTACTGATCTGCAACCACCTTAAATGTGGTCTTTGGAAGAGATCTTCCCCCTGCATTATCGCTGGCGGGACCCTCTGCTCTCTGATTAAAAGAACAATTCATCTGAAGTCCAGTGAAGGGGACGAGTCGACAGTCCTGATTAAAACTCTCACCTCTTCTTAGCCAAAGCTGGCCTGGGGGGTTTCCCACCGGGGCTCTTTTGACTGGGGGTACTCTGAGAGCTGTCTTCAGGAGGGACCCCTCTTAGGCTCTCAATCACAACTCTGGCTAAGCGGATCCGACCCAGCGTGGCCAGCCTGTCAAGGCTCAAATTGACAGCTTGGATTTCATCGGTGGACTCCGGGAATGTCTCACGAGGAAGGGATTTAGCAGGGGAACGGCTGAAAAGAGAAACGAGAAACTTCAGAAACTTTTAAGTGCCACAGCCTAAAAACGTTATTAAAGGGCTTGCAAGCATCATCAGGTGCATTGCAGGTAGTCCTAGACTTACAATGGTTTGTTTAGTGACCGAAAATTAGAATAGCGCTGAGAAAAGTGACTTATGATTAGTTTTCACGCTTGCGACTGAAGGATCCCCCATTGGTGGAAGTTGCACCTCGAATTCAACCCAAAGGAAAGTAATGTTATCTTCCAGGCCTCCAGAAGTTGTGAACGCTTGAGCGGAATGGGGGTGCTGTTGGACTAGAAGACCTCCAAGGTCCCTTCCAACTCCGTTATTCTGTTTAATGAAAAGAAGGGCTAGGGGAGACATGATAGCAGTCTTCCCATATCTGAGGGCTGCCCCAAAGAAGAGGGAGTCAAGCTATTCTCCAAAGCACCTGAAGGCAGGACAAGGAGCAATGGATGGAAACCAATCGAGGAGAGAAGCAACCTGGAGCTAAGGAGAAATTTCCTAAGTGAGGACAATTAGCCAGTGGAACAGCTCGCCACCAGAAATTGTAGGTGCTCCATCACTGGAGGCTTTTAAGAAGAGATTGGAGAGCCATTTGTCTGAAATGGTATAAGGCAGAGGTCTCCAACCTTGGCAACGTTAAGCCTGGAGGACTTCAACTCCCAAAATTCCCCAGCCAGCTGGCTGGGGAATTCTGGGAGTTGATGTCCTCCAGGCTTAACGTTGCCAAGGTTGGAGACCCGTGGTATAAGGTCTCCTGCTTGAGCAGACGGTTGGACTGGAAGACCTCTAAGGTCCCTTCCAACTCTGGTATTATTACAAAACGTTATTTTTTTGTACTTAAACAGGCAATTCAACCTACCTGGGTACAAGCTTCAGATAAGAGAAGAAAAGAGAGTCCTGGGGAAATTGTGTTCTTTACTGACCAGCAAAGGTGTATTTTGAAAATATGCAATGCTTAGGTTAAAGGATGGGATATGAAATGAGCCTTTAAAAGGTAAAGGTAAAGGTTCCCCTTGCACATAAGTGCTAGTCGTTCCTGACTCTAGGGGGCGGTGCTCATCTCTGTTTCAAAGCCGAAGAGCCAGCGCTGTCCGAAGACGTCTCCGTGGTCATGTGGCCGGCGTGACTCAACGCCAAAGGCACACGGAACACTGTTACCTTCCCACAAAAGGTGGTTCCTATTTTTCTACTTGCATTTTTTACCTGCTTTCAAACGGCTAGGTTGGCAGAAGCTGGGACAAGTCACGGGAGCTCACCCCGTTACGCGGCACCGGGGATTCGAACTGCTGAACTGCTGACCTTTCAATCGACAACCTCAGTGTCTTAGCCACTGAGCCACCATGTCCCATACTATGATATACATATATACATAAGCCTTTACTGGTGCACAAAATCAGCCTCAGAGGCTGCCCCATGGCAGAGAGGAAGAGAGTCCTGAACAGCAGGGCCGAGCTGAGGATTTTGTACAGTATCTGGATGATAAAATAACTCAGATTCGGGAAAACTTGGCCACTGACTGGGTTAGTTCAGACGAGATGACTGAGGCAGGCCTTGAGAATGTTATCTGGGAGGAGTTCGATCCTGTGGCTCCCGAGGACGTGGACAGGATCTTGGGACGGCTGAACGCCACCACATGTTTATTGGACCCGTGTCCCTCCTGGTTGGTGCTGGCTTCCCGGGAGGTTACACGAGGCTGGCTCCAGGGAATTATCAACGCTTCTTTGAGTGAGGGTGTCCTGCCGGCCGCCTTGAAAGAGGCGGTGGTGAGGCCTCTCCTCAAGAAGCCATCCCTGGATCCGGCTGTTTTGGCTAACTATCGTCCAGTCTCCAACCTTCGCTTTATTGCGAAGGTTGTTGAGAGTGTGGTGGCGCGACAGCTTCCACAGTACCTGGATGAAGCTGTCTATTTGGATCCGCTCCAGTCCGGTTTCAGACCTGGGTACAGCACGGAAATGGCATTGGTCGCGTTGGTGGATGATCTCTGGAGGGCTCGGGATAGGGGTTATTCCTCTATCCTGGTCCTGTTAGACCTCTCAGCGGCTTTTGATACCATCGACCATGGTATCATGTTGCGCCGGCTGGAGGGACTGGGAGTGGGGGGCACCGTTTTGCGGTGGTTCTCCTCCTATCTCTCCGACCGGTCGCAATCCGTGTTGACAGGGGGGCAGCGGTCGACCCCGAGGCGCCTTGTTTGTGGGGTGCCACAAGGGTCGGTCCTCTCGCCCCTCCTGTTCAACATTTATGTGAAGCCGCTGGGTGAGATCATCCGTGGTTTTGGGGTGGAGTTCCATCAGTACGCTGATGATACTCAGCTGTACATCTCCACCCCAGACCATCCCAACGATGCCTTGGAAGTGATGTCCCAGTGCCTGGAGGCCGTGCGGGTCTGGATGGGGAGAAACAGGCTTCGACTCAACCCTTCCAAGACCGAGTGGCTGTGGCTGCCGGCGTCCCGGTATAGCCAGCTGACGCCATCGCTGGTTATTGGGGGTGAATCATTGGCCCCCACGGAAAGGGCCCGCAACTTGGGCGTCCTCCTGGATGCACGGCTGTCCTTAGAAGGGCATCTGACGGCCGTGGCCAGGGGGGCTTTTTATCAGGTTCGCCTGATACGCCAGTTGCGCCCCTTTCTGGATCGGGACTCCCTACGCACAGTCACTCAAGCACTCGTCACTTCTCGTCTGGACTATTGTAACGCTTTCTACATGGGGCTCCCCTTGGGGTACACCCGGAGGCTCCAACTGGTGCAGAATGCGGCCGCACGGGGGATTATGGGAGCGACTGGGTGCTCCCATGTGACTCCTCTCCTGCGCGAGCTGCATTGGCTTCCGGTGGACTTCCGGGTGCGCTTCAAGGTGTTGGTGACCACCTTTAAAGCGCTCCATGGCTTAGGGCCGGGGTACTTACAGGACCGCCTTCTGCCACCAATTGCCTCCCACCGGCCAGTTCGCTCCCACAGAGAGGGCCTCCTCAGGGTGCCGTCGGCTAGACAATGCCGGCTGGCGACCCCCAGGAGGAGAGCCTTCTCTGTGGTGGCACCTACCCTTTGGAACAATCTACCCCCAGAGATACGAGTGATCTCCGACCTCCGGACCTTTCGTCGGGCCCTAAAAACTCATCTCTTTCAGTTAGCCGGTCTCTCTTGATTTTATGATTTTATGGTTGGTTTTAAATTTTGATATGGATTTTAAATTGATAAATTTTAAACTATGGGCCAAATTTAATTATTTTAAATCTATTTTTAATCGTATTTATGTATAAATGTTTTTATTTTGGCTGTTCACCGCCCTGAGTCCGAAAGGAGAAGGGCGGTATAGAAATTTGAATAATAAATAATAAATAAATAAATTATTTTACCTGTCTCTTGTCTCCAAGGTCTTCTTTTTCCGCCTGTGAGGACTCGACTCTGAAGCCTTTGGTGACCTCTGAAGTTTTGGGCCCTGAGGCCGACTTAGTTTTCCAGCCTCGTCCTCCTCGTCACTATAAAGGTCGCTGAAGCTGCCGTCAGATTTCTGAAGAAAATTGATCAAGAAAAACAAAACATGACAAGAGAATATTTGTAGCTCGGGGCTAAGTTGTGTTGTCCTTGGTGCTCCCTAATCTTGTCCGCTTTCTTGCAGATGTTTCATGACCCAACTAGGGAACGTTATCAGTTGTAGAAGGGAGAAGGGTTTGCTTTCTGTTTTTAAAACCTCCTTTCTAGCACTGACGATGTTCCCTAGTTGGGTCATGAAACCTCTGCAACAAAACAGCCAAGCCCAGAGAACATCAAGGACTTCACAAAAAAGCAGATATGATTATACACTTAAACAAGGCAGGGAAAACTGGAGTAGAGTTTCTGGTGTTCTTTCCAATTCCTTTACCAGCCATAGTAGCCATAGGAAGTTCCTCTACTTAATCGGGGAATTTATCTTGTTGTCCAGCATGGAAAATAAGCCACAGTTTCTTTATCCTTCTTTATCTTTATCTTTATTTGATTTGTATACCGCCCTACTCCCGAAGGACTCAGGGCGGTGGACAGCCAAATAGTAAAATACATGAATACAAAATTTAAAAACAGGATAAAATTGAATTAAACAAATTTACCCAACCAGCTCCATTAAATCCAACATTAATCCAAAGAGGAATTAATTGGGAGCATATGGGCCTGTCAGTTTATGCCAACTGGCAAGAGATACTGGAGCCTGGAATACAGATATTTGCTACAGCTTCTAGTGCTGCCAATGCAGTCCAAGTTCTTGCGAGCATGAAGAAGAAAAAAATCTGTAGCAGAGCGATATCACTGCCCTCAAAACAGGCAAAGGCATTGTCTATACCAGGGGTGTCTAAACTCGGTGACCTTAAGACTTGTGGACTTCAACTCCCAGAATTCCTCAGCCAGCTGTGCTAGCTAGGAAATTCTGGGAGTTGAAGTCCACAAGTTTTACGGTTGTCAAGTTTGGAGACCATGGCTGAGGAATTCTGGGAATTGAAGTTCACAAGTCTTAACAGTTGAAATCCACAAGAAATTTGCCAAGTTTGGGGACCCCCGGTGTACCCAATGCTGGCTGAGGAATCCGGAGAGTTGAAGTCCACAAGTCTTAAAGTTGTCAAGTTTGGAAACCCCATGATATACATTGTACACTAATGTGTCAAAAGTAAGACTTTTCCTTTTTCTCAACCCTAAAAGCAGACTTTCTAATCAATATATCACTCTCCTGTGCGGTCATATTCTTAATCAGCATTGATGTTTTCTGCTTGTTTATTTTGAAGCCTGCTAAAGACCCAAATGTCAGACTTCGATGCTATCTCCAAATAAATGAATTTCCAAACTGCCAATCTTTAAGGAAATCTTCTCTTTATTCGAGCACAGCAACCGGATCATGACTCGATGCGGACAAGACTGACCTTTTGCCCCCCAATCCCTCCCTTTCCGATCCCCAATTATCTGCTTCTCATTGGCTATCTTCCAAGTCACTCTCCTGACTTCTTGTCTCGTCATTTCACAGGAATGTTCCCCCCCTCTTCATTTCCACGGAGACCGGGCTTCAAAGGGATTTAGCAGGCAAAAGTTCAGGGCTTAACTCCCTTTCTATGTCAGCGCTGAGGTGCTAACACCAAACTCATTTAATTCCCTCATCAAATATTCTATACACACACCTTTTCTACTCACCTGAGCTGTGTAGAACAAATTTTCCAAGAGACTCTGGTCGTAATGTGGGTCATTCAATTCGCTGTCATACAAGTGACTCGAAGGGGAAAGAGATTCAGGAGGGGAGCCTGCCCCGTCCACGAGATGATCTGGAGATAAATCGGAACTGTAGATATAAAAAGATAGAAAAGTTTCACGTGTGCACTTAAAAAGCTGGTAGAACTTACTGCATTTTTTGGAGTATAAGACGCACCTTTCCCCTACCTTAAAATGGGGTGAAAATTTAGGTGCATCTTATACACCGAATGTAGTCCCGTCCACCCACTGGCCTCTACCCTTTGGCCTCTGCCTCCCAGCAATTTACTTCCTTGCAGCAAGCAGCCCATTTCAGCTTCAGCACAGTCTGATTAGCACAAGTTGATGATAGGTTGGATCAGCCTCCCGACCCTCAGCTGTTTCAGGCTGCTGGGATTGCCGTGGCCTATTGCTGCGGGGGCCTCCGCTGCTTGCTGCAAGGAGGTAAATTGCTGCGAGCAGATTTTTTTTTTCTTGTGCTAATCAAGCTATGCTGAAAACGAAAATGAAAGTAAAGCAGGCTGTTTGCTGCAAGGAGGAAAATTGCTGGGAGGCCGAGGCAGATTTCTTTGTTTTCCTCCCCAAAAAAGGGCAGGGGCGTTTTATAATCCGAACATTTTATACTCCAAAAAATACGGTACCTCCTGTATTATAGGTAGCCCTCAACTTACAACTATTTGTTTAGTGGCTGTTTAAAGTGTCTCCAAACTTGGCAACTTTTTTAAACCATGTGGACTTCAACTCCCAGGATTCCTCAGTCAGCCACATCACTTAAGCAACTGCCTCACTTAGCAACAGAAATCTTGGGCTCAATTGTGGTTGTAAGCTGAGGACTACCCCGGAAACATAAATTTTGGGAAATTCCTGAGGCAATTCTCCCCCCTCCGCCCCCAAAATGGGAGCCGGACCAAAAAATATATATATATCTCACCTGCCCAGCAGAAGCTCGACGGCTTTCTTTTCAGCATCCAAATCAAATTCGGAACATTCCCGCCATGGCTCATGAGGGCCTTCGCACATAAGAGCAGGATTCTTCAGAGTTCTGGATAGAATATTAGAATATAGGAAAGAAAGGAAGATGGGAGGGATCGAACACTTATCGGAATCAAAAGCATTTTGTGGAGGGAAAATGCCATCCTTTATAGTGAGGTTAAGAACAATAATTCGCCCAATAGTTTTAGCAGGATATTTTTCAGTGTAGCCCTTTCTAGATCTGCCTAGGAAAAAGGGCAACAGAAGCCAAAGGTGTTTTTATGTAGGAATTGGGATATAAATGAAAGTCTTAATTATTTAGACCAGAGGTCTTCAAACCTGGCAGCTTTAAGACTTGTGGACTTCAACTCTCGGCTGGAGAATTCTGGGAATTGAAGTCCACAAGTCTTAAAGCCGCCAAGTTTGAAGACCTCTGGTCTAACTAGTTGGTCAGGCATTATATAAACCATTAATATAAGTTTGCAGTCAAAAGGTATTATATTGCTTTAAGATTGTATTGCATCGTTCTGTATCCTGATTGGCTAAGCTCTGTAGCCAATGTACGTAAGGGGAAGCTTGAATCATGGTTTGAGGGCTATATCATTTTATCTGTTTATTTGCTGCTACTCTTTACCTGTTCTCTCTGCATGATCACTGTTTGATCATTGCTACTACTTGTTGCTTTCTACTATTTATTGAATGTTTTAATGTTGAACTTGTTCCTGTTTGAAACTCAAGAACTGTTTTATTGTGTAATGACTACAACAACTGGTAAGAAGACTTTGTACTTGGAATATCCTTGGATTGATATCTTGATTATCGCTTTATCTGTGTATGACCTGGATTGTTTATTGGACTTTGCTTTACTTTTTCCTAAAAGTAAAAGAATATCACAACCCAGTGTGTCTGTGTATTAACTGTGATTATTCCTAAACACTCTCAGTCATTTTCATGTGCATACCCTTGGTACTCTGTTTAATATCCCATAACATCGGTTATGGACCCAGAATACACTTAACATTGGGGGGATATGACAGCCCACTCTCAACAGGAGAGGGATACTGCATCATCTATCTCTGTCCTTTCAGCAGTTCCAAAAAGGATCCACATCCATTTGCACAACTCAGGTGACCCTAAGGACACAGGTGGCCTCAACGACTTGCTAAAAGTATTCAAATGACCAGCTGTCTGCAAGGAGTATCAATCCCTCCGTTCCCCAATGTCATGTCAGAGCTGAAGAAGCTTCTTAGATGAGGAGCGAAAAATTTGATAGAAAGATAAAGATATTTGATTCTACACGTATTAACAGCGGCAAGAATTGCATTCGTGCAATATTGGAAGGAACACAATACACCCACCAGAGGGATTGATCGTTCAGAAGATATATGAATGTGCCGAAATGGATAAACTTACCCTAGAACTAAAAGAAAAAGATGATTCGGAATTTTATGCGGTTTGGGAAAAATGGTACACTTGGATAGATAATAGAAATAAAAATTGGGAATATACGTAAGGCTATCGAGGACTAGATATTGAATGCATATAATGTATATATTGTTGATCGGAGGTATACAAAAATGACCCAGTCTGTTGATTATGTACTAGTGTTGTGTAAAGGAAAATTGTAATAAAAATTATTTCAAAAAAAAAAGAAAAGAAAAAAAGATGAGGAGAGAAACGTCTTCAAAAGAAAAAAACCAGAAAGTCCAATTGCCTCTTGAAAAAATAAAGCACCTTTAGGACAACTGTGACCTCCATGACTGAGAATCTCCAAAGCCATTTAGATTTAAGGAAGGGACACGTCAACCGTCACTAAGTCCATGCAAGTTGCCAGGCGGTCAAATTCTGATCACGTGACCAGGGGGATTTTTTTTTGGTTAAGTGTGAGAACTGGTCTGTTAGGAAATGGCTATTGCCTAACTGGTTGGGTTGGCAATATATATAAACCATCAATGCATGTTTGCAGTCAATATGTATTGTATAGCTTTAAGACTGTAATGCTGTATCGCATCATACTGTATTCTGATTGGCTAGCTCTGTAGCCAATGTACTTAAGAGGAAGCTTGAATCATGGCTTATTGTTCTTATTACATTATTATTGCTATCTCTGCTCCTCTCTGCCTGTTCTCTCTGCATGATCACTGATTGATCATTGCTACTTGTTCTTTTCTACAGTTTTACTGATTGTTTTACTGCTGTACTTGTTCCTGTTTGCAATTCTAAAAAGAACTGTTTTATTGCATATGACTACAACAACTGGTAAGAAGACTTTGTTCTTGGAATATCCCTGGATTGACATTTTAACTATCTTTATATGTGTATGACCTGGATTGTTTATTGGACTTTGCTTTATTTTTTCCTAAAAGAAAAAGAATATCACAACTCAGTGTGTCTGTATTGACAGTGCTTATTCACAATCACTCTCAGCCGTTTCTCATGTGCACACCCTTGCTACTCAAGGGTTACTCTGCGCATATTCCTCAACATGGTCCATAAGACACTTTTTTCAGTGTTGTTGTCAACTTTGAGCCATCAGTAAATGAATGGCATTTCAAGGACTACCCATAACAGAAATTGACAAATTGGATTTTGTCTTCCCTTCAAGTTACTCTGAAAAGTGTCGCTATTTTGAAACTCTTTTTAGCAACACACATTCCAAGAAGGCTCCCGTTTTCTTGGGGGACCCAAACCTTCCCTCTGGCCTACCCAAACTCACTTTCCAGCTTGTCGGGAGAGGTCCTGCTTTACCGAAGGTTGAGCCTCATATCGTTCAATGACAGGATCCGGATTCGATATCATGACGGACACAGCCATAGCATTTCGCAACCGGTTTCCTCGATCCAAAAGGTCTTGAAAGAAGAGAAAGCAGAGTCGGACAGTGAGGAGGCTGGGGAGGACCATGGGCCAGTCCTGGAGTCTGGGGAAGGCCCGGACAAGGGCTCTGCATTGGAGGCAGAGATGGGGCCAGGGCCATCTGGGAGTTATGCGCGGATTCGGGAACTTCCAGAGTCAGAAAGCAGAGAGGCAGAGGAACAGGAGGAGCCTGTTCCTAGTACGCACATGTGCAGAGCTGCCAGAAGGCATGAACAGTTAAAACAAAAAGGACGACTTGGGAGTAAGGCCTGGAGATGATTGGCCCCTCCCATAAGGCTTAAAAGAGGAGCAAAGGCACGTGGGCCCTTTGCAGGAAAGCAACATTGTTAATTCTGTTCCCAGTCGGCATCTCTGTTTGACTCTGGACTCCGTGTGACTTTGCCAAGTCGGTCTTTGGCAGCGTGTCAAGGGAGATAAAGGTTGGTGATTATCCCGAAGGACTTTTTTTGCAACTAATTGGGACTCAGCTGTGAATGAATGTAATTCACAGTTGTTGCAATAAAAGAGGTTTTTGGGACTATTTGTCTATCTTAATGACTCAGTAAGCCTAGATCACAACAGCCGATATGATAATTCCAATAAAAGTATTCTTTGAGGAATCTACCTGCCTCGGAGGTTTGCTTGCTATGGGTCTATGACTTGGAAACCTGACATAGTGAGGTTACCTGCTTACCTGTAAGGAGATCCTTCGTAGCTGGACTGTTGCAAGGAAGAACACGGACAGGCCGTGTGGTTTCCTTGCCCGATTTAATTTGCGCCTCTGGATCAGAGCTGTTCAAAAACATTTTGTGTGGCTTGGGATCCTTGGTGTTCAAGATGTAATCCAGGGGTGGGTGAGATCCACCAATGCTTCTTTGGATATTCTCCGAGTTCTCCTGGAAATATAAGTGATCTTTCCCCCTGAAACATAAAGCACCACAGAGAAAATCAATTCGGGCTGACCCGAGATCCCTCTGGTGGCTTCAGGCGTTCGTACGAATCGTGGACATGTGATTGTGGCAGGCTGAAACCGGTCGTAAAGGCGAAACAGTTGCCCAGAGCCCAAAACGAAATCATGTGGCTGCAGGGAAGAGGGCGTGAATTTGCAGGAGTGTATCTGCCTCTTTTACCATATCAGATAGGGTGGTATAAAGATAATCCTTGACTTACGACCACAATTAGACCCATAAATGGAAGGATTTATACTCTTTGCAGACAGCTGGATCCACACCCATTTGTGCTGAGTGTCAGCGCCTTAGCGCTGGCATAGAGAGGAGAGAGATAAGCTCTGAACTTTTGCCTGCTAAATCCCTTTGAAGCCGGGTTGTCGTGGAAATGAGGAGGGGGGGAGACATTCCTGGGAAATGATGAGACAAGAAGTCTGGAGAATGACTTGGAAGATAGCCAATGAGAAGCAGAGATTTGGGGATCGGAAAGGGAGGGATTGGGGGGCAAAAGGTCAGTCTTGTCCGCATCGAGTCATGATCCGGTTGCTGTGCTCAATTAAAGAAAAGATTTCCTTAAAGATTGGCAGTTTGGAAATTAATTTATTTTGAGATAGCATCGAAGTCTGACACTGAGTAGCACCTGACCCTGACCCTGAGGATCCAGACAAACCTCCAAGTGGCCTCAAAGACCCTCTAAAAGGATGCAAATGACCAGCTGTCTGCAAGGAATATAAATCCTTCCATCCTTCCCCATCCAGTCAGAGTTGGAAGAAGCTTCTTGGATGAGGAGCGAAACGTCTTCAAAGAAAAACCAGTTGCCTCTTGAAAAAGCACCTTTGGGGAGTGATATGTCTAGTTTAATATGATTAAAGCAGCTCTCTGGCTTTTGCAGCCCTCTCTAAGCGGTTTACAGCATCAGCACCTTGCCCCCCAACAATCTGGCTCCTCATTTTACTGACCTCAAAAGGATGGAAGGCTGAGTCAACCTTGAGCCTGTCAGGATCGAACTGCTGGCAGTGGGCAGTGAATTAGCCTACAATGCTGCACTCTAACCACTGTGCCACCAGGAAGGAGAATGAGAAAGGGAATAAGAGAAGAAGCAAGGAAAGAAGAAAGGAAGGGATGGAGGGAAGGAAGGACTAGCAATAGCACTTATATATACCACTTTACAGTGCTTTCCAGCCCTCTCTAAGCGGTTTACAGAGTCAGCATATTGCCCCCAACAATCTGAGTCCTCATTTTACCCAACTCGGAAGGACGGAAGGCTGAGTCAACTTTGAGCCTGTCAGGATCAAACTACTGGCAGTGGGCAGTGAATTAGCCTGCAATACTGCATTCTCACCCACTACATCACCATGGAAGGGAGGAAGGAAGGAAGGAAGGAAGGAGGGAGGGAGGGAGGAAGGAGAATGGGGGAAGAAGGAAGGAAGGAAAGAAGGAAGGAAGAAAGAAGATTTTAAGCTGTCCATTGTTGTACAAGAGTGAAATGGGTGGCATATACAATATATTTAATAAATGAATGAATAAAAATAGGAAAAGGAGGGAGGAAGGAAAGAAGAAAACAAAGAAAGAAGGAAATGAAGAGGAAGGGAGGTAGGGAGAAAGGGAGAAAGGAAGGAAGGGCAATAGCAACAGCACCTAGAGTTATATACTGCTTTATAGTGCTTTTACAGCCCTCTCTAAACGGTTTACAGAGTCAGCCTCTTGCCCCCAACAAGAGTCCTCAGGGAGAAGGGCGGTATATAAATTGGAAATAAAATACATAAATAAATAAAATAAACAATCTGGGTCCTCATTTTACTGACCTCGGAAGGATGGAAGGCTGAGTCAACTAGAGCCTGGTGAGATTCGAACTGCCAAATTGCAGTCAGCAATGCAAGTAGCCTGCAGGACTGCAGTCAAACCACTGCGCCACCGTGGCTAAATAATTTACGACAGCAATGTAACGTGACAACACACCATAAAATAGAACCTCACACACCTACATATATACGTATTAAAAGCATAAGTATCCTGTGAAGCAAGCAAATTCTTTTCCCCAAAGGTAGGAAATTGATGTTTTTGAGATATGTTTTTGAGGACCCGGATTGTGGGGGCAATAAACTGACTTTGTATAAAAAAGAACACCGCTTGGGGGGGGGGCGAAAGCCCTACTAAGCAGATATATACAAAAAGTATGAAGGCTATTGCTTAAAAGCATTGTAAGCCGTCCTGAGTCTCCGGAGAAGGAAGGAAGGAAGGAAGGAAGGAAGGAAGGAAGGAAGGAAGGAAGGAAAGAAAGAAAGAAAAAAATAAATAAACAAACAAACAAATAAATAAATAAATAAATAAATAAATAAATAAATAAATATTGGGCTGATTTTTATTTATTTTTTTAAAACCCCGGTAGACAGAAAATAAAAATTTAAAAAAAACACACACACACACACACACCTTGGAGTACTTGCTCTGCTGCTGCCCAGAGACTCTCTTCCGTGAAGGTGGGTGCCAGTTGGTCTGTGAAGCTGGGACGGAGCGAGGGAGTGGCTCAAATCTGCAGCATCTTTGTTCGTATTTGTGTTGTGGGCGGTGTGTTGGCTCTCGTACACGTCGGACAGAGGTTCCAGAAACAGGGAAATCTGCAAGGTGTCATTCGAGCAAGCCTGTGAGAACCCCTCTCTATTCCCACGATCTAACACAGGTCGTCCTCAACCTACGACCACAACTCAGCCCGAAATTGACGTTGCTAAGTGAGAAATCTGTAAAGTGGGTCTTGCCCCATTTTATGACCTTTTCTGCTAGAGTTGTTCACTGAATCACTGCAGTCGTTAAGTGAGTAAAACGGTTGTTAAGTGAATCTGGTTCCCCCCCCTTTGACTTTGCTTGTCTGAAGGTCACAGAAGGGGATCGCGGGACCCTGCAACCGTCATAAATGTGAGTCAGTTGTCAAGCATCGAAATGTTGCTAAGCAAAACGTTGGTTGAGTCAGTTTTGCCCCATTTGGCGACCTTTCTTGCCACCGTTGTTAAGCGGATTGCTGCGGTTATTAAGTTAGTAAAATGGTTGCGAAGGGAACGCGGCTTCTCCATTGTATTTGCTTGCCTGAAGGTCGTAAAAGGGGGAATCACGCGACCCCAGGAAAACTGTGACCGTCATAAATAGGAGTTAAGATGCCGAGCGCCTGAATTTTGATTGCAAAAGGCGATCACATGACCCTGGGACACGCCTGACTGTCGTAAATGTGAATCCATTGTCCACTGTGCAAATTTGGACCATGGAGAGGCTGCAATGGTCATAAGTGTGAAAAATGTCATAAGTTCCTTTTTCCAGTGCTGTTTTAACTTTCCAACGGTCACTTAACGAGCTGTTGTAAATCGAGGATTACCTGAAAATCCTCCATAGCCCCAAAAGCCTGCTTTAGAACAGGAGTCTTCAACCTTGGCAACTTTAAGCCTGGAGGACTTCAGCTCCCAGAATTCCCCAGCCAGAAAAGCAAAGCTGGCTGGGGAATTCTGGGAGTTGAAGTCCTCCAGGCTTAAAGTTGCCAAGGTTGGAGACCCCTGCTTTAAAACATCCAAACTATTACCAATAACATTCTGTGCATTTCAAACTGATCCACATTTACAATACCTGGAATTGAGGCAGGGCAACAGGGGGAAAAAAAAACCCAGTTAATTCTGAATTACCTGCAGCTCTCCCATCTTTTCGGACGACGGCGAAACGATGGTGAAAAATCCACTGATTGGATGGCTGGGGGAGAGCTGGGCCAGCCCCTTGATTTGAACCCGTCCAATTGGAAGGTGATCAGATTTGGTCATTACTTCCAGGATAAGAGCCCCCATATCTGCAGGAAGCAGGCGAAGAAAAAGATGGAGAAAAGATGACCAGCTTGGTCTAACTGGGTAAACAACACATTAAGGGTGTTAATTCTACTTCAAAACCAAGGGGGTGAAAAACCCACCATTATTTAAGGCACCCCTAAATGCAAACTTTGTTCCTCATTTCCACACCTACCATGATGGAGCAAGATACCGAGAGAAGAGAGTAACTATAGCTCAGGGTTGAACTCTCGGTATCTTGCTCATGCCAATAGAATATAAACTGAGGGCAAACCCCACTCCCTTCTGGCACTGATGATGTCACCTAGTTTGGTAATAAAACATCTGCAAAAAAACCATCACCAAGCTCAGAGAACACCCAAGGACCCCATAGTGAATATGATTGTTCCAGGGGTGAAATGCTCCCGGTTCGGACCGGATCGCCCAATCCGGTAGCGATGGCGGCAGGTGGTTCGGAGAACTGGTAGCAAAAATCCCTGCGCCCCCCCCATGCCCAGGTGAGCCGCGCGATCATCAGAGGCTGTTTTCTTTTTACTTTTAAAAGCATTTTTTCTACAACCTCTTCAGCCAAAAAAATGCTTTTAAAAGTAAAAAAAAAGCCTCTGATGATTGCGGGGCTCAGCTGGGATCATCAGAGGTTTTTAAAAGCATTTTTTTCTGCAACCTCTTCATGTTGTAGAAAAAATCCTTTTAAAAGTAAAAAAAAAAAAAAAGTTGGCCATGCCCACCCAGTCACATTACTTCCCCCAAGCCACGCTCTCAGAACTGGTAGTAATAAACTTTAGATTTCACTCCTGGATTGTTCTCAACACTATTTAATCATTCTATTTTTTCACCCTAAAAATAGCAATTTTGTGGGCCATTTCCAGAGGAGGCAGCCTCTGTGGACTGACCACATCCAGGGCACAGCCCCACATTCAACCTAATTCACCCAATTCATTGCCAAGGGACAGCCGTACCTGTCAGGTAGGAGGCAAACTGTTTGGGCCCACATCGCACCGGGTAGCAGGTGGTGGTGTTCAGAATTTTTTGCTCCGGCTGGGAAGCATCCTGGGGAACGAAGACGGTGCCATTGGTGGTTTCTCCCCACCATCTCACCCGGACAAGGGATGATACTGGCGGCTTGGCAACCATCCATACAATTTTGCTGACGGTTAGTTTGAGGAAGCAGCGCAGTTGTCCTTCCACAAGTGGGGGTAAACTGGTAGAAGGGGAGATGTCACTCAGAGCTGCAGAGCAATAATAAAAGCACCCAGGAAATTAGATTAGATTAGAAATGAGAGATGATGGATAGAAAAAAAAAGAGAGAAAAAGATCCTCCATGAACATATTTTACCAAAAACAATAAGCTGACTTTGTATAAAAAAGAACACCGCTTGGGGGGGGGGGTGGCAAAAGCCCTACTAAGCAGGTATATATAAAAGTATGAAGGCTATTGCTTAACGCATTGTAAGCCGCCCTGAGTCTCCAGAGAAGGGCAGCATATAAATCGAACCAATAAATAAATAAATAAATAAATCTAAGATCATGGCATCCGGCCCTCTCAATTCTTGAGCCTGGATAGCTCAACAGACTACAAGCCTGTTATTAACACCAGCTGTCTGCAATTAAAGTAAGTTCGAATCTCCCCAGGCTCAAGGTTGACTCAGCCTTCCATCCTTTCTAAGGTAGGTAAATTGAGGACCCGGATTGTGGGGGCAATAAGGTGACTTTGTATAAAATATACAAAAGTATGAAGGCTATTGCTTAATGCATTGTAAGCCGCCCTGAGTCTCCGGAGAAGGGCGGCATATAAATCTAATTTAAAAAAAAAAAATTCCTGGCAAATAGATGGGGAAGAAATGGCGGTAGTGACAGATTTTATTTTCCTGGGCTCCAAGATCACCGCAGATGGGGACTGCAGCCAAGAAATCAAAAGATGCTCGCTCCTAGGGAGGAAAGCTATGGCAAATCTACACAGCATACTAAAAAGCAGAGACATCACCCTGCCAACAAAAGTGCGTATAGTCAAGGTGATAATTTTCCCAGTTGCAATGGATGGCTGTGAAAGTTGGACCATAAGGAAGGCTGCGCGCCAAAGAATTGAGAGGCCTTGGAACTCTGGTGCTGGAGAAGACTCCTGCGAGTCCCTTGGACTGCAAGGCGATCCAACTGGTCAGTCCAAGAGGAGATCAACCCTGACTGCTCTTTAGAAGGCCAGATCCTGAAGAGGAAAATCAAATCCTTTGGCCACCTAAGGAGAAGGAAGGAAGGACTCCCTGGAGAAGAGCCCAATGCTGGGAACGGATGGAGGGCAAAAGAAGAAGAAGGGGATGGCAGAGAACGAGGTGGCTGGATGGAGTCACTGAAGCAGTCGCGTGAGCTTCAATGGACTCCAGAGGATGGTAGAGGACAGGAAGGCCCGGAGGAATGTTGTCCATGGGGTCACAATGGGTCGGACATGACTTCGCAACTAACAACAACAAATTATTAAACATGCATAAAAATATTATGATTAGGAATGAAATGATAAAATTAAACAATGGGTGATTAGATAATGAAAGAATATACTGTAAGCATGTGTATTAATAGTAGAATCACACAGATTGGATGATTGGAAAGAACATGAACAGATTTACTTTATATGTTTAAATGATTGTGATTGGTACCAGAAGTGTACATTGAAACACTAAACAATGAAAGAATGAAGGATGAAACTTTAATATACAGTAAATAGATGTGAGGAGCTAAATAAGGGAACTATGAATAACAAAGCAGGTGAAAGATGGAAAGATAGAAAAGAAACGTCTTTGAATATTACGGTGACATGGAAAAAAAAGTTAAAATAGGGATAGAAATAAGAGGGGAATAATAGTATATATATATTAATATATATATATATATTAATATAACAAGATATATGTAATAATAAGAGGGAGGTTTAGAAATTGAAGGGTGGTAGTATTAGGTATGTTTAAACAATAAGAAAATGAAATGTAATAATTATGAGTAATAATAATGTCTATTTGTATCAAAATGTATGATACCCAGGTATCACACTATTCACGCATTAGTTTGTATAAATAATATAAAATAAAAAACTTGGGGGGAAAAAGAAATTTGATTAGGATTATTTCTTAAATTCATATGCTGCCCGTCTCAATGTTACAGCAACTCTGGGCATCTTACAGAACAATAAAAAGTAAAAAAAAAAACAATAAAGGTACAACTTGACTTGACTTACAACTTGACTTACAACTATTTGCTTAGTGACCATTCAAAGTTACAGAAACTTATGACCGTTTTTCACATTTACGACCGTTGACACATTCCCCACAGTCATGTGATCAAAATTTGGACTGATTCATATTTACGATGGTCGCAGTATCCCAGGGTCACGTGATCCCCTTTTGCCAACTTCCTGACAAGCAAAGTCAAGGGGGAAACCAGGTTCACTTCACAACCCTGTTACTGACTTAACAACTGCCATGATTCATTTAACAACCATGGCAAGACTGGTCGTAAGATGGGGCAAAACTCACTTAACAACTGTCTCACTTTGCAGAGGAAATCTGGGGCTCAATTGTGGTCATAAGTCAAAGAGTCCCTGTAGTACAAAATACTTAACATTCAAAAGGTTATGCAATAAATTATTAAAGATTCAGTAAGAAATAAGCCAAGGATCTGATTCATTGAGATGTATGTTGTATCTTTCGGGTGCTTAAAAGGACCCACAAAATAAGAAATGGGTCTCCTACCCCTCTCCTCCTAGGCTAAGGTCTCCCTCCCATTCTCCTGCCCTCTGGGATCTCCTGGTGGTCCCCCATCCATCTCTTCAGCTGAGAAACTATTTGCAGCAGCGGGAGAGAAAAGGCAGAATTTCCCCTCCCATGTCTTCTGCCTTGATCGACAGCGGGTCGCCCAGGCTCACTTTGTCCCCAGGACAGAACTCGAACTCAAAACCAGTCCTGGAACTTCTCCTGGTATCTAGCCTGCAGCCATTGACTCTCCTTCATAGTACATAAAAACACAGGCATTTCCCGCCACCTTCTCTCTATTCTCCTGCCCTCTGGGATCTCCTGGTGGTCCCCCATCCCTCTCTTCGGCTATTTACAGCAGCGGGAGAGAAAAGGTAGAGTTTCTCCTCCCATGTCTTCTGCCTTGATCGACAGTGGGTCGCCCAGGCTCACTTTGTCCCCAGGGCAGAACTCAAACTCAGAACCAGTCCTGGAACTTCTCCTGGTATCTAGCTTGCCATTACATCAAGGTGGCTCTCCTTCGTCGTACATAAAAACACGGGCATTTCCCGCAAGGGTTTTCCCCACCCACCTTCCTCTATTCTCCTGCCCTCTGGGATCTCCTGGTGGTCCCCCATCCATCTCCTCAACCAAGAAACCATTTGCCGCAACAGCAGGAGAGAAAAGGCAGAGTTTCTCCTCCCAAACGTCTTCTGCCTTCATCCACAGCGGGTTCCCCCAGACTCACTTTGTCCCCAGGTCAGAACTCGAACTCAGAACCGGCCCTGGAACTTCTCCCGGTATCTAGCCTGCCGCCATTCCCCATTATATCAATTGATTGTCCTTCATAATACATAAAAACACAGGCATTTCCCTCAAGGGGTTTCCCCCCACCACCTTCCTCTATTCTGCCCTCTGGGATCTCCTGGTGGTCCCCCATCCATCTCAGGAGAAAGGGAAACAAACAAACAAAGCATCTATTCCCAAGGTCTTCTGCCCCTCCGACCCCAGAATTGTGGGAAGGCGGGAGAGGGAAGGACCCAGCCCGGCCTCGACCTCCCTCACCCACCCTTCCGACGACGGACGGCCGAGGCCCGGCCCGGCCCGGTTTTACTCTTCTTCGGCTTCATCTTCGCCGACAGGCCCGGAGCCGCTGCCTAGCAACGGCCGCCGCCGCCGCCGCCGCGGGCGCGCGCTGCCTGATGGGAAAATGGCGGGAGGACCGCTGCCTCGAGCGGTCGCCGCTTCAACTACCGCCCCCAGAAGGCTTTGCGAGGGAACGTAGAGATACGAAAGCCTTCAGGATAAGACGACCAGGGTTTTTTTTCCCCCCCAACGTGGAGCAGAATCCCAATCAGAATCGAGCTGGAAGGGACCCTGGAGGTCTTCTAGACCAGCCCCCTGCTCAAGCAGGAGACCCTCTACCATTTCAGACAAATCCTTTTAGAAAGTTTTTAGAAAGAACAATTAATCAGTGGAACAACTTGCCTCCAGAAGTTGTGAAGGCTCCAACACTGGAAATTTTTAAGAAGATGTTGGATAACCATTTGTCTGAAGTGGCACTATAGGGTTTCCTGCCTGGGCAGTGGGTTGGACTAGAAGACCTCCAAGGCCCCTTCCCACTCTGTTATTCTCCTCTCTTCTCTTCTATTCCTAATTCTATTAATTCCTTTCCTTTCCTTTATTTATTTATTCTATTCTATTCACTATTCTATTCTATTCTATTTTCTATTCTATTCTATTTTCTATTCTATTCTATTTTCTATTCTATTCTGTTCTATTCCATATTCTATTCTATTCTATTCATTATTGTATTCTATTCAATTTTCTATTCTATTGTTCCATATTTCTATTCTATTCTATTCTCCTCCTCTCCTCTTCTTCTCTCCTCTTCTCCTCTTCTCTTCTCTTCTCTACTCTTCTTGTCCCTTCCTTTCCTTTTCCATTTCTATTCTATTCTATTCTATTCTATTCTATTCTATTCTATTCTATTCTATTCTATTCTATTCTATTCTATTCTATTCTATTCTATTTTCTATTCTGTTCTGTTCTATGGCTCCACCTCGCCGCTCTCGGGCGGACCAGCCCTCCCGTTTTAATACTCCGTCTCCCAGGGTGCCTTTCGGCGACTTCCGGCAAGGAGCGTCGTGCGCCGCCGGACTGCCTTTCCCGTCGTGCCTCGGGGCGGGAGCTCCTCCCTTTCCGGCGAGCGGGCGGCCCGGCGGCTCCTTGCGGGAAGGCGGGGGCCGCATCCAACACGCCCCTCGGTCGCTGAGCTGCGCTGCCCGCCCGCCTCGCCCGCCCGCCTCGCCCTCGCCATGTCCGCCCTGGAGAAGCAGCTGCAGCTCGGCCGCCTGCCCCCCCGCCCGCCGGGCCCCGCCGGAGGCAGCAGCCAGGCCCCTCCCAAGATGCGCATGGGGTAAGGGCGGCCGCGGTGACGTCACGGGAGGCCGCCGCGGTGACGTCACGGGAGGCCGGCGGTGACGTCATGGGTGCTGGGAGTGGGACGCGGAGGAGGGGGCCCCGCGGGGGGGAGGAGGAGGATGGGGGGGTGGGGGGGTGGGGTGGGGGACGCCGAATGGACCCAGGGCCCTCCGGGGATGCTGGACTACAACTCCCATTATCCCCAGCCAGCCCGGCTAGGGCGTTGCCGGGCTCCCACTTGGCCCAAAATCTCACTGGATTTGATTCCATGGATCAGCCGCCCATTAATTAGAGATTAGCCTATGGAGGGTCTCCCCCCCCACAGCTGGATCATAGGATCTCCCCCCCTTGGAACATGGGAGGGTCTCCTGCCAGCTGGATCATAGGATCCCCCCTTGGATCATGGGGAGGGTCTCCCCTCCTTGGATCATGGGGAGGGTCTCCCCCCCTTGGAACATAGGATCTCCCCCCCTTGGATCATGGGAGGGTCTCCTCCCAGCTGGATCATAGGATCCCCCCCTTGGATCATGGGGAGGGTCTTCCCCCCTTGGATTATGGGGTCTCCCCCCCCTTGAATCATAGGGAGGGTCTCCCCCCAAGCTGGATCATGGGGAGAGTCTCAGCTGGACCACAGCCCATTTTTCCCCCTTGGGTGCCTGATCCCTCCTAACTGCCCCTCCCCTTGAAAGACCCCCCCCTTTGCTTTCCCACCCCCAACCCCCATCTTCCTCCTACCCTGTTTCCATCCCGCTCTCACCATCTCCAACCAGTCATGGGGGCTGCTCTAAGACGCCGGACATGCTCCCTTTGACGGGGTGTGTGTGTGTGTGTGTGTGTGTGTGTGTGTGTAAGGGAAAAAGATCCCTAGGAGAACCAGCACCATGGATAGAGCTCCCCACCCCATCCATGGACTCCCAACCCCTCCAACCTGTAGGGTGGGGAGTAAGGCCTGGAGGATGGAGGCGGGGTGGGGGGTAGGGGGGAAGGGGTTGGGGGTCCCTGTTGGGAAATGCATTCGGGGGTTCTTTATACTCTACACATGTGAATCATGCAGTTGTTGAGTAAATTGGGCTTTCCCCCTTTGACTTTGCGTGTCGGGATCCACTGCGAAGTTTACAAATGTGATCACATGAACAGTCAAGCTTAGAGAGCATCACGTCCTCCTCCTCCTCCTTCTCTCCACAAACCCCTCTTCCTTTCAGCACTGATGATGTAACCTAGTTGGGTCATGAAATGTCTGCATGAAAACAGCCAAGCTCAGAGAGCACCAAGGACCCCATTGTTCTCCTCCTCCTCCTCCTCCTCCTCCTCCTCCTCCTCCTCCTCCTC